CCGTCCTTCTTCGGTGTGAATAATATCGGTGCCGCAAAGGGAGACGAATTCGGACAAATAAACTCATTCGGCAGCAGATAATCCAGCTGCTTCCTTAATTCGTCCAGTTCGGGTTGGTTCAGTCGGAACTGTCGCTGTACTGTCGGCTGTGCCCCCGGTTCTAACTCTATCTGTGGTCGTGCGGTCGCTAAGGTGGCAGTCCCGTTGGCAGGTCGTCTAGAAAAATCCCACTATACCACTTCAGGAGTGCTGCCAGGTCATCCGGTACGTCGGCAAGCAGTTTCTGTAAATTCCTCCTCCGGTCTGCTGCCTCGGCTTCCCCAATGTCAACCGCATACACGTCAGCTCCTGCCGCTACGTCGAGTTTCATTGTGGACGCGTTGACACGCACCGATGAAGACTCAGGCGAGCCCCAGCGAAGTAGGGGGATGTTGTTACCGATTACTCGCACAATGCACTCACCAGTCGTCCAGTCGATTTGCGGATTGTGCCGTCGCAACCAATCACGGCCGAGTAAAATGTCGGTTCCGTCAAGGGTTGTCGCGAGCATTTCTTGGCTAAACGTGAAGTTACCCCCGCATCGAATCCGAACCCGGTCTACGCGTTCCCGTATCGCCAGTGGCTTGCTATCAATCAGTCTTGCATCGATCTCAGGTAAGCTCCTGTCCAGTGGCAATCTCAATTTTAGTGGCTGTATTGATGAGGCTGTGGCTGGCTCCCCCGTCTACAAATATTTTAACTAAGTCTGCCCCGATTTTCCCACTAAGTAGTATGGGGCTGTTTACCGTTGTACCCTCCTTATTTGGCCGAGTGTGGTCGATTGCGTGAACCGGGAGAATCACTCGGTGAGGGTCGGTTGGGTGAGGCGAGCAGTGTGACCTGTCAGTTGAGGGCCCGTCTGCTACTGACTCCCAGCGTTTCCCTGCTGCTTGGTCTGTTTCTGCTGCTCAGCTTCCCCCTTTCCCTTAGCGTTTTCCGGGCATTCGCTCTTGCGACATCCCGGCCGATTGCACGCGACCCTTTGAACGGTGCGGCAGCGGCGACGGCATGTATCGTAGCGCCTTCATTCGTCCCATGAGATCGATGACCTCAGTTACTGCCGCTTCCGTAGGACCCCGGTCTCGGTCGGCGGAAGAAATCGAGTTTCTCCGCCGTAGCGAGAATCTCATGAAAGTCGGTGACGCCGCGGAGCTGGATTTCCTGAGCGATGTCGTGCTTCAGGCCGCCGATGTAGCGGTCGATGCGCTCGCTCTCGTGCATATATCCCACCTGCTTGCATAGCGCTAGAAACACGCTGGTGTAATCCTGGTCGAAGCCGAGTTGGCGCCAAGTGCGGAGCTTCTGATGCGCCCTGATTGAAGCTGCAATTGGCTCAAATTGAGCGCACAGGCCTGTGCACAACGCGTCCCACGTGCGACATTGGGGCACCTCCTCGAAATACGACGGTGCCCAGGGTCCGGTTTGTCCTTCCCGTGTCGGTAGAGTCGCGTAGTCGTTCGGCTTCGTAACGATGCCATGCCACCAATCCATGGCGGGTCCTCGTAGCTGCGACACGGGTAGCGAATTTTCGCCATATCCTCCGAGACGTAGTTGGCGTCGAAGAAGACATTCCTCGTGAAAAACCATGCCTGAACGGTGTGACCACCCCGCTGACTCGGGTCGAAGCATGGCGGACGCTGCGGCTTCAGCGGCATCGGCGCTACAGTGTAGATTCGCCGGCCGGCACTGAGATTGTGACTCGAGGCTGGGTTCTGGCCACATTCATCGCTTCGGGGTATGTCGCGCCGTGGTCGTCGTCTCCGTCGTTGCGGACGACACCATCACTAGCCGTGCTCGCGGGTCGTCCCACACTTCCGTGCTGTGATGCCTGTTGTGCCTTGAACTTGTGATTGTGCTCGTGCGACGTCATCTTGCAGGGACGCACGTTCTGCCGTCAGCGCCGCGATTTCTACGGAACTTTCGTGCAGCTGCTGCAGTAGTTCGTTCAAACGCTCCTGCGTGAGGGTGGTGACGTCCATATGTTCGGCCATGGCGAAGGGAGTCGGATCAGCTCAGTCTAGGTGCAGTCGTGGCTGTACGCGTTTACGAGAGAACGCGGGGACAGCGGCTCCTAGGGGCTAAGGTGCGTGAGTCCCTTCGAGTGAAAAATCAAAAGTTGATTTCCTGGGGTGCGGAGATGCGCGGTTCGAAAAAAAGTAGCTCTCAATACCAACTGTTACGAGTGCAATGGTTCGAGGTAGCGACGATTGCACTACGGTGTCAAATGAGTACCAAATGTGAGTCAAGGCATGAGCGAAGATTTATACATGAAACATGCAAACGGTAACGCATTACGTGCGAGCTAGCTAGTGCTAGGCTGACATCAAGGTTCGGGCTAGTACCGAAGCATAGGCCGACACGGCCGGGCCAGCAGTGCGAGGTTTGGTAAAACAGTGCGCGCGAAGTTGGCGAAGCCCCGTTAGCAATAACGGGCGATCAACGGCTGCTGCTGTACGCGATGTTGCAGGTCGCGGTAAGGAATGTTGAGAAAATTCCTTACAGTATGATGTACATCATGCCCAAAATTCTCCTGTGAATCTGCTACCCCTATTTTGAAACTGTATCCCTCGTGCTCGAACATGGGCAAAGAACGATTGCATACAAGCTCAATTAATTAGATTTTGAGCCCATGGTTCATATATTTCTTATAGTATTCCCACGGCATGCAAAAAGTCACATATTATAAAAGGGACCCATTAGTTTCCCAAGGCGAAGGTGACTAGGTAGGGGAAAAAGCCCATGCTTGCTTCGGTCAATGGTGGGGTACCCCCAACGCGGATCAAGTGTAACGACGTGTTGCGACCCACACGGGTCGGGTCGACCAGCCCCCGATCCCGAATTTCTAGGAAGGCTGCGTCGCGGGTCTACCCGACCAGGTCGACCCGACCCAACCCAACCGGGTCTGCCCGACCCGGGTCGACCAGGTCGGGTCAACCAGGCCGACCAGACCCAACCCAACCGAGCTGGAGCTGGTTACCTGAGCCTGCGAAATTTGTGGTTCTCGCGCGGATGTCGTTTTTATCTCGTTTAACAAAAAGATACCCAGTAATATCGCCAAACATTGCCTCGCCCACCTCCCACCCGCGGAGCACTTGCTTTCTCTTTTCTTCGAATGTGCAGAGAAGACAAATTCTTTGTTTTCTCAAGTCGCCTTTCGGTTGGGTTGGGTCGGGTCGGGTCTACCCGACCTGGTCGACCCGACCCGACCCAACCCGGGTGGGTCGCAACAAGTCGTAAATCCTAATCTTTGCGTGTAGGGCGAAACCCTGCGACTTTAACAAGTCCGTTGTCAACCAATTGACCATCAGCTGGGCCCAGTTCGGCAGGCATTAAAAAAACGGTTTCCCCGTATGGGCTACAGTAAACCGACCACCCTGGAACCTTCTTTGATAAGCGCGCGAAAGGTTATCTAGGCTCGATATAAGCGGATCAACACCGAACCAGACAATAATAGAAAGCCAGCCGAACACCCCTTTGACGCTGGCGTTTTTCACAAGAGGAACCTTCCTCGAACCCTTTTTCTCAGGCAAACTCTCCAATTTCTCATCCGCCGCACCATGCGGCCTCGAGGTCCCGCACCATGCGGGGGATCATTGATTCGGGGCAATCACACTTTGCACTGAAAAAAAATAAATCCCGGTCTTTCTCACCCCTCTTCGTGCCCGCTGGAAAATCGCACACACAAACACAAAATCTCTAACACATCGAACGCACAGTATGCCTTGCGCTTTTTTTTTCGACGTCCGCCGCTGCTTTGCAGGGCTGCCCGGGCTGCCCTTACAGTGATTCTATGCTCCATCAGCGCAGCTGCATACGGGCTTCTCAGAAGTGTCATTTCCAATGGCGCCATTAATTTCGGCCCATTTAATGCCAACCGAACACTCGGGCCATTGTTTACCGAAGTTTCACTGCAGCTACAGTCTGTTTCTTGGGGCCATTTTTTGGGGGCCCGTTAAAATGGCCGATAATGGCGATAATGGCCATAATGCCTGCCGAACTGGGCCCTGAAGTTGTTGACGACGTGTTTGCGATACTGTCCTGTACCGCGAGCCTTTCATCCCCACCCCACCCCTCCAAACCTCTTCAGGGATGTGCGACAGCTCAACCTGGAGGCTATCAAGGCCCTCCGCTACAGGTGTTCCGGTTTAGAGTCCCTCGCTAAATGAGTCCAATTTCCACATTGAGTAGAATTTTCCGAAGGCTCCTAGGTGTAGCCCCTCCTGTACAGTCCCGCTGTGGGTGGCGCACAGTGTACAGAAAGGGGCAGTTATCCTGACGAGATTGTGAGAATCAGGCAAACAGCCAATCCGGTAGGACTGACAGATTATGTACGCGACGTGTGCAGCTTGTGCGAAAGTTGAAGCTTCTGGAAATATCAGACACACGAAACCCTTGCGAACGAGATGAAACACGTCACCAAGCACCGAATCAACTCTTTGTGCCACGTCAGGTGTTATGGCCCCCTCTTGAGCTAGGTGGCGGGGTGGAAGTCCACTTGAAAGTCAAAGGTTGACCAAGAAACAGGCCAGTCTCAACCCCGTTCCAATCGCCGCTTCCGCCCAAGAAACATGGCCTGTCTCCATAAGCGCTCGCGAATTCCTATCGTCACCAAGCGCGAAATTTGCCAGCACTTTGCGCGCAATCCACACTTGCGTCTTGAAGACCTTGCAGCATGGTGCTTCACCAGATTTGGAATCCGTCCTGATCGAAGCACGATCGGCAAAATCTTGCGAGGCGAGAAGAAATGGCGTGAGGCGACCATGGTCCACGGTCGCACGTTTCGCCTGCATGGACCGAGATTTCCCCAACTTGAGCGTGAGCTCTACAAATGGATTCGCAACGCCAATGAGGCAAGCGTGCCTTTAACGCTCAAGTTGATCCAGGAAAAAGCCAGGTCGCTCCGTCGCGAGTTACGCATTGACACAAGATTCGTATGCTCGCTCGCGTGGGTGCATCGCATGATGCAACGGCTGGGCTTCCGTAGTCTGACACGCGCCGGAGAGGCTGCCGCAGCCGACATGGAAGCTGTGACAAGGGCCCGTCTCTGGTGTCCCGAGCTGATTAACCATCTGGGAGTCTCGCCCAAAGATCTCTTCAATTTGGACGAGACATGCCTCATCCCGGCATGTCAGCCCCGGAAGACGTGGGCGAGCAAGACGCCTGTGGGCGGAAAAACAGCGAAGGACCGCCTGACCGTTGTATTCATGTGCAATGCTGACGGTTCCGAGATGTTCCGCCCGATGGTGATATCAAAGGTGCGCCGGCCGAGGGACTTCACCGACACTAACTTCGACCCCGAACCATATGTCTACTGGCGCTACAACAAGCGCGGCTGGATGACCAGCGAGGTGAGTTTGATCGTGAAATTAATTGAGCTGTCGTGGTTGATTGCACTTCTCGCACGTGTAACTGTTGAGTTCCCAATATCAAATACTTCAACGCCGTGTACTGTGCCCTACTTGTATGGCAGATTTTCACGGCGTTCATCGAATCCTTGAACACCACTTTTTTCGCTGAGGAGCGGCAGGTTGTGCTCCTCGTAGACAACGCTTCCTGCCACTGCGTAGAAACGGCGGCCGCAGTGCGCCAGGACATTCTCGGCTTCCGCACGGTCAAGCTCAGCAACATCAGGGTGGTGTACCTGCCTCCTAACACCACCGCATACACGCAGCCGCTGGACCAGGGTGTCATCAGCGCGGTCAAGGCACGTTTCCGCCAGAAAGTCATCGCGGATTGGCTGCGTCAGTGGGACGGACGCGGCAGCCCTGCATCCCCGCAACCGCTGAAGCCGAAGCCACACGAGACTGTGCTGTACCTGTTCGCAGCGTGGGAGGCAGTAGAGACCGAGACAATCCAGCGCTGCTGGTTCAATGCTGGCATCCTGCCGCGATCGTGGAGGGCACTCATGCCCCTCGGAAGCACCTGGACGTCCGACCTCGGCGACACTACCGAGGAGCTAGAGTATCTTGGTAGGCAATTGGCTGCACTCAATCTGGGGTCGGCTGCGATGTCTGCGACGGAGTTCAACACTGTCGATGACCATGTGCCCATCTGCGACTTCACCGCACCGGATCCCCTGGCGGATGAACCGCCCCGGACTCGCGGCGCCCGTCCGTCTATGGTGCCGGAGCTGATTACACCCGCTCTTCGCGAGCGTCGCCGGGTTGCTAGGCGCGCGACCGAGATCCTAGTCGGGTACGCGCGGGCGTCCAACATGATGCCACGCGACCTGGCTGTCATTTTTGGCATCACTAACCCCGAGGTCATCGAGCGCCTTGAGCGTGCCAGTCGTGCAACCATAAACTTAAACGACCCCCCCGAGAACAGCGCCCAATTTGGAGAGGACGAGGCACCAGAAGACTCGGCGACTAGTCTCAGGAGGGCGCTCTCTCCCATGGTCGGCATCTGAATGTTGGTTCGTTCCTTGGCTTGGCCAGTGTGTGTGGTGTCTACGAGGGATGTGGGTGTCTTGGCATGTGTCTTGGCGTGAGTCACGGTCATGGTCGCCTTGAGAGGACGAGAGGTTGTGCCTGCATGGGGAATGTGTCTTTGTGCGTTTGGAGACCGATGTGTATTTTTGACATTCTCTGAGTCAAATGCCTTGTCTGCGTCTGGAGTCTAATGGCCCTTGTGCGTCTGGAGTTGATATGTCTTTGTGCGTCTGGAGACGAATGCCTTTTCTGCGTCTGGAGTCTAATGGCCCTCGTGCGTCTGGAGTAGAATATGTCATTTGTGCGTCTGGAGTCGGATGTGTTTCGTGCGTCTGGGTCGAATGACTGATGTGCCTCTGTTTGGATCTTGGTGGCTGCGTGGATATGAGGGTTGCGTGACTAGCGTTTCGGAATTTGTGGGGACTTGGCGAGATTGGTTGCAGGGTCTTCTGTTTGGGATGGTCAGCTTGGAGGCAGCGAGTTTCTAATGGTTGTTCTTTTTGCGTTTGTTTCACTCTGGTTGTAGGGACGCTTGTTACAATGACTCATGTCTGTCACTAGTTGAGTTATTGCTGTAATCGCATCACGGTGTCAATTGCAGGCGTGCGTTTCATTTCATGCGAAAATAGAGTAACACAAAGTCGCAGAAAAAGCTGTGCCGAGGCTGGACCGGAAATGATGCAGGTAGACGAAGGTTCCCGCCCGTGGGACTATAAAAATCGCCATTTGCCTGGGGATTCGGGATTTCGTTAAATAGTTCCGCGCGGCGCGTGCTCATCCCTGGGACTATAAGCCAGAACACCTGTACTGTGCGTTACTGTACTCCAATCCAGTCATCCCCTACCGCAATTGCTACCCCAAACAAAACCGTGCAGTTTGGCCTTGAAGTTCAAGGGGTTTGATGCATCCTTCGCACCCTTTGCCTCCACCACACAAACGCACAATTTCGTCTAGAGTAAATGGGATGTGTACACCCAGAACATTTCAAAGACACTTCATATATTAGCTTGTGTGACACAGATGAACGTAAAATCTGACAGAACTTATTTCTAATGTCTAGCGAAGGGAATGACTTGAATGCATGTAATTGCAATTAGTATTTAACAAACTGTTAGTTCTTCTAAAATTTATTTCTGTGCAAAATGCCCAAGGTTTAACAAAATGCACACAAACCTGCGACGTCGGGGTTTAAATAGGTTGAGCTTATATCAACAATATGACTTTTTGAAGCTGTTCATGCACAAGAAAAGTGTCATTTTGTTTTCCAATCACCAATAATATTTTCTATCTGGCCTAAAACCAACAAGAGTCACTTGCACGCTGTTAAAATGCACCTTTTTTTTCTATATGTATGTATGATGATACAAAAGGGAGTAAAATACGCTTTAATAAAACCTAACCTTCATGCGTATGACCGTTTTGGTTAGAGGTTCAAAACCCCTAAACCAATCTCCTAGAATTATGTTCCTGCCTAGGGGTTTAACCTGCCATCAAAGAATGTATATGTAGTAGTTGAAGCTAAAGAAGTTGTCCTAGCTCAAAGTAGCAATTATTGTGACAGACTTCCTATGGGAAACAATTGGTAAGCTGACAGGTGCTGTTTTCGTGTACGTTACTGGGTTGGTGTACAGCAGAATGCATTTTGAAAGATTCGGAATCAAAATCTACATCAGAGAAGCCCTCTTGGCGAAGGTTTTGAAGATGGGGCAGACGAAAGACCGTAAGGCGCATTCTGCTTTCGTGACAAACGACCACAGATGTGTTTTCAGGTATCCAGTTCAAGGCTGGAGCAGCGGAGCTAACAAGCAAACTTTTGTTCTTCCAAGCCCATTGTACGTGCAGAATCGCGCCCATGGTTCGCTTGTGAATTTCGAACCAGATGTTTGACCGAGCGCGGATTGGCCACCACTTGTCTCCGTGGATCGGTACTGTATGTGTACTGTTTGAGAAACTTGTTACTGTACGCTTACAGTAACAGTTCCCAACCTCCATCCACCCGAAGGCTAGTTCCAACTGTACTTCGCGTCTGCCCGTGACTTGTTGCTGCCCGCTAACGGCTGCCTTACCACGTGCGTACGGGCGGGTCTAGTGTATTGCCGTACTGTCCTCCCTAGATCTGAATGGAGATTGTTAATGCTTGTTTTGCTGCTGCGGTGCCGACCAATTGCAGCAACGAGTCAGCTCCCAAGGACAATAAACCCTTAGAAGTTGGGTCATCGGATGCAAATTACTCCAGAGGGTACAATTTTCGACTAGTATTGGGCTCGAGTAGTGATTACGCGATCCATGAGTTCTTTTAGTTTGAGGCTGGAAGGGGTCATGCATGCTGCTATCAAAGCCACACTGTCGTAGCTTTGATCAACATGTGATTAACACTCTGGTGTTGGGACTAACTTCTTGTCAGGTCTCGTTTTCGAAGGGTCCAGGGCTGGTGAAAGTTTCCATCTTCAGGGCAGAAACAGGAACAGCAGGCTGAGGCAAGGTAGCCATTGGGCTGGCTAGCCCGATTCCTAAACTTAATGATGCGTATGTGTGCGGTTCCTGCCTTCTTTAATAACGACGCAAGCACACATTGTGTAGCAAGTCGGTCTGACGTGCTTCACCACCTTTCCCGCAAGAGGATATATTCGTCGTTTTGTATACCATTGTCTCCCAAGCCCGCCATCCTTCCACTTTCTCGATTCGTATTGTACGGATGGTGGTCCCACTTGCAGATGTGTATGTTTCGTCACGACGAGCAGTCCCCGTGGGACGATCTGTACAACTCATTGTCTTCAATTTCTGCAGCAAGGTGCTCAATTCCAGAGTACGTGCCATGAAACTCAATTCCATCAGTTTTATGACAATCCGCATTTAGCTACCAGCTACTTACTTAAAAGCGGAATTTTTCGGCAATATTTACATAGTTAGCGTACGGGCATTATGTTAACTCGTAAGTTGATACAACGGCGACACAGGTTAGAAGATTGCATTTAGCTGTAAGTTCTGAACGAAACTGGAATGCTGATGAATTCGTTGCACTCTGTTCATAATTAAGTGTAAATTGTTTTCTACAATGTATTCTTCAGCTCTTTTTCGCAGCTTGATTTTCTCTAATATTGAGCTGACAGCAACGACAGAGTTTCTAGCCCAGAAGAAGCACCAATTAATTGTTACTGTACACCAGTTTCCAGTCCAGGGCCCTCCAATCGCCCACATTATGGCGCGAGTTCTTCGCACAGCAGCATGCAAACCCTGTGCGGCATCTGCAGCGGCCTTCAGTTGAGTGGACCTGTCATTCCCCGTCGTCCAGATGGAGCGTCCACGTTGGGGCTGGATGGGTTGGCGAGGCACCCAACCCAATTCAACGCAGGCACACCACACACACCTTCCCTCAACACGGCTTGCAGCAGTACTGGTAGTACAGTCCCACACACACCCCTCAACACAGCTTGCAGCAGTACTGGTAGTACAGCCCGCCGAAGACGCCTCTCCCCGCATCGATGCAACCTTCCGCTGGAGTCCGTCCAGCAGTGCTGACCAAACCAGCCACAGAACCAGGAAACATCCTCCAGACGTTCGTGCTGTCCGACATCCCGCGTTTCTTCATTCACCGATAACAGGACTAAGCCATTCTAGTGTCACACCAGATCGGATCGCGTGAACTCGCCGGATCGCATAGTCTTGCAAAGATCGTGTACCATGATATTCGACGCGAAATCTACCCGATATTTTTTTTTCCACGGAAAGTAGTCACGGCGTAAAGTATCTGTTGTATGAAAAATGGACGTAGTTAACCCTGTTTTTTTTTTTTTTTCTCGCCAGATTCTAGAGAAAATCGGCAGCACTATGTACTAGTACTACCTGGAAGGTACGTCAGTGAGACACACACGCAGCGATGACGCATCAAGAATGGTCGGCGTGATGGCTGCAGCAGAATCATAATGGACCAGCACGACTACTCTGTTGGCGGCAGTGATTCATCGCAGCGAATCGACGAGTCAGTGAGCGAGGCCGGCGCCGCCGCACCGATCGCCATGCGTCACTTGTCCGCCGACCCCGCCACCGTTCGACGGGGGCTCGGAGTCTCCTTTGTACCCGCCTCCGAACAGCGATTGCTTCCTTCTCTCGGAATCGGCAGCAGCCGCTTAGGATCGTCGCCGAATCCTTGGGATCTGTGGGTGGGGACCAGCGCTCCGTTGGGCGCGGAGAATCTTATTTACAGTGGTACGACCATGCCGTCACCAGCCGCACGACCTCATTTGAATCTCTTCCGCGGCGGTGAAGAGCGTTCTTCAGTGCACCGTGATTTTCCTGCAAACGCATCTGACCTTTCGCTTCACGCCGCGCTCCCCCAGTCCCTCGCAGCCTCAACAGCCGCCGTAGGCGTCGGCTCGCCGCTGCAGTTGGCGCCGCGAGCGACGTCTCGAGGCGCCCCTCCGCCTCTGGTGCTAACATGTGGGCAGGACGAACAGCAAGGCCTTAGCGCTGGCGGTGCACGCAGCTCGAGTCGCGAGCAGGCGCTAGAGGCGTCGTTGATAGGGTTCCCCTCCGCCCTCATTCACGCCATGAACGTTGGGGTCGCGCCCGGGCGCAGTGACAGCAGCGCAGCGGCGGCAGGCGCGGCATTGGGTTCGAGAGGAGGAGAGCAGGGAACGGCAACGGTCAGGGCGAGCGCAGCGAGCGTGCAGTGGGGCAGCGGCCTTGCTCTGTCGCAGCCTGCCCTACCCGCGGCTCGTGAGATCAGGTTCGCTCTGCTGGGCGAGCGGGAATCAGCAGGGGAAGGGGATAGAGCAGCTGCTGGGAGAAGCGGGGCAGCGGTAGAAGCGCGGGGAGGAGGAGTAGGAGGGGAAGAGGGGGGGCAGAAGGAGGGGCTGAAAGGGCTGTTTGGCCTGGGACAGGCAGAGGCCCCTGGGGCACAGGCGTTGGTAGGGCACCAACGGCGCCATGATGACCCCTGTGGCAGCGGTGCTGCTGCACCTCTGCACTCCACCTACCCTCAACCAGCAGCCCCTTCTGCTGCTGCTTCTGCTGCTGCTGCTGCTGCTGCTGCTGGTGGGGCGGGTGGAGCAGCTGAGCTCAGGTGCACGCTGGGGGGGAGTGTGGGAGGCTCTGAGCCGCAGGAGGGCAGCAAGTGCTTGGGAGGGGCGTTTCTGTCCCTTGGTTTCCCTGGCACCAGTGCTGTGAGCAGCAGTAGCACCGATGGGCTGCCCCGGATGCTGACTGCCAGTGAGCAGGAGTCACAGGAGCAGGAGCGACAGCAGGGAAAGTTGCTGCAACAGTGGCAGCAACGGCAGCAGCAAACACGGCAGCAGCAGCAGACATCACAGCAGCTGGCACAGAACCTGGTGCAGCAACAGCAACAGCAGCAGGTGCTGGATCCAGGAGCATCATTGTCACCCTGGAGGCACAGTGGCGTGGGGCACGGGACGAGGGAGGAGAGACACGGGTCAGTGGGAGGAGGCAGGGACAATGCATGGCAGGCCAATCACATGCACCAAGGAGCCGCATCACAGCACTTCCACGTGCTGCCTAGACAGGAGCCGGTGCTGCGGGGCGCAGAGCAGCAAGGCAAGAGAGTGGAAGAGGTTGGAACCAAGGGTCTGTCAGAGCTGCTGCTGCGCGCACGCGGCAGCAGAGAAGCCTCTCCCATTCATGCACGCTCGCGCGTGGAGGTGGGGGCGTCCGCGGCCAGAGGGGAGGGCTTGAGGGCAGGCCCCCGTGAGGACGTGTGGCTGGGCTTGGGCGCGGGGCTGGCGCTGCAGGGCGCTGTGGGCGGCAAGGGGGGCGCGGGGGAAGGACGGCTGGTGGCGGGGGGCGCTGTGGACTCAAGTGCTGTGATATCAATCGGTGGGGCTGTGGGGGCCGGCTCTGGCGAGTTCTCTCCTGCTGCCCTTGCTTCTGGTGCTGTGGGGTCGACGCATGGGGAGGGCGGAGAGGTGGCGCAGGAGAGGGGTGAGGAGGGCAGGGGCGCGGGAGGTGGGAGAGCAGGTGGCGGCAGTGGAAGAATATGGAGTGGAGGGGAGCGGGAGGGCAGTGTGAGTGGAGGGAGCAGTGGGGTGACTGGGAGGGGGGACACGGGGGGGAGTGGGCGGGGAGAGGCAGGGGATGGGGCAGGGGGGCTAGTGGCAAAGCAGGCAGGGCGAGCAGCGGAGGGGCGAGCGCGGGAGCTGGGAGATCCACGGGGGGAGGCGCGGATGGGGGCTCGGTGGGCGGAGGGAGCAGCATGCGGGGCGCGGGTGGCAGCAGCGACCCGTTCATCTGCCAGGTGAGACACGTGCTCCCCCAGCGCCACCCCCCCTCCCCCCCCCCCGCCCCTTGTCCTTCCCCATATTTTTCCCCTTCCCATCCCCTAGCCCTTTCCCGATCCTCTTTTCCCCCCCCTTCCCCTTTCCTCTCTCTCTAACCCTCCCCCACCCCCTCCCCTCCCCCCCTGCCCCTTCGTCTGTCCCCTACCATCCTGCATTCTTCTCCCCCACCCGCCCCCTCCCCACAATCCCCCTTTCTTTCCCCTTCCCCTTCCCCTTTAGGTCCCCCTTCCCTCCCCCCTGCCCCTGCTCCTACCCCTGTTCCTGCCCCTATTCTGTCCCTGCCCCTGCCCCTGCCCTAGCCTTTGAAATTCCCCTTCCTCTTCCCCTTTCCCTTCCCCTACCCCTTCACCTTCCCGCTCCCTCCCCCTCCCCTTCCCTATCCCATTCCCCATCCCTTTATGCCCCTGTCACCACCCTCCTCTTCTTCCCTCTCCTTCCACTCCCCCTCTCCCTCCCCCCCCTCCCCTTCCCCTCGTCTTCCCCTTCCCACTTCCACATCCCCCTTCCCCTCTCTTTCCCTTCCCACTCCCCGTCCCCTTTCCCCCCCTCTTCCCCCTCCTCCCCCTCCCTGTCCATCTCCTCATCCCCCTTCCGCTCCCCTTCCCCTTCACGGCCCCTTCCCACTCCACCTCTCTTTCCCCCTTCCCCTTCCCCTCCCCACCCCTCCCCCGTCCCTTTCCCCTCCCCGTCCCCCTTTCCATACCCTTAACCCTTCCCCTCCCCTTCCCTTTCCCCCTCCCCATCCACCTCTCCCCTCCTCCCCTTCCCCTTCCCCTTTAGCCTCAATTTTCCCCGTCCCCTTCCCCCTACCACTCCCCCTCTCCCTCTCCTAAAAACCTCTCCTTTCCCTTCCAGCCCCCCTTCCCGTTCGCCAATCCCCATTCCCCATCCCCCTCGCCCTCCCTTTCCCCTCTCCTTCCCCATCCCCTTCCCATTCTCCCTCCCCCTCCCTTTCCCCCTTCCCCTTTCCACATCCTCCTCCCCAATCTTCCTTCGAAACCCCCCTCTTCTACCCCTCCCCGTCCCCCTCCCTGTCCCATTCTCCTTCCCCCTCGTCCTCGTTGGTGGGAGTTGGTGATGAGGTGGTGGTGGGAGAAGAGAAGATTCCACGGACACAACCCAGCTCACACCTGCATGGCTGACCAGTGCTGGCTAACTCTCCTCCCACCCCATCCTCCCAACCCCTTTTTCTCTATCTTTCCCTCTCACTCGCACTCTAACTCGCGCTCACCCAATCACCCCCGACCCTCACTCTCCCCCGCTAAATCCACCCCCACTGCCCATGCCGCTCCCGCCCACTCTCTCCCTGCTTCCACCCATCCTCGCATCGCACCTGCCAGGTGGACAGTTGTGAGGTGGAACTGACGTCACACAAGGACTACTACAGGCGGCACCGCGTGTGCGAGGCACACGCCAAGGCCACGCATGTGCACATCCAGGGCAAGGCACAGCGCTTCTGCCAGCAGTGCAGCCGGTACAAGCTGCCTCGCATGCTCCGCATGCATGTGTGCATGGGTGTGTGCATGCGTGTGTGCATGCGTGTGTGCATGCGTGTGTGCATGTGCGAGTCCTTCGCTCCTCCTACTTCATTGCTCCCTCTCCTATTCTCCACCTCAGCAGTCATTCTTCTTAGCACCCTAAACCCACAATCTAAATCTGAGCTGAGACCCTTGCCCTTGCTCATGCCGCTTCCTTCCCTCTCTTTCCCCTTTCCTGCTCTCCTCTCCGCCACCCTCTCACTTGGTGTTCCAGTGATGTGCTCCTCTAGTAAACCCCTGTCTTCATCCCTGTTTCCTCCCTACCCTCTCCTCTCCCCCCTCCCTCCCGTGCCTTGCCACGCGCCGCATACGGGTCCCCCTGGCAGCTTCCACGACCTGTGTGAGTTTGACGACAGTCGTCGCAGCTGTCGCAGGCGCCTGCTGGGCCACAACCGCAGGCGCCGCAAGCAACAGCACCAGCCGCTGCTGCAAGGCACCTCACCGCCCCAGCAGCCCCTTGCACAGCCACCACCACTGCAACCGCAGCAGCAGCAGCAGCAGCAGCAGCGAGCAGCTCTTCTAACCCACTCTTTCCAAGAACTCGGAACGTGGTTGAAGGGAAGGACGTGGCAGTGGGGATAACGGCTGCTGCGGCAGCGGCAGCAGCAGTAGCAGCAGCGGTAGCACCACGTATCCCCTCACTTGCTCAACCTGTCACTTTTCCCGCCACTCCTCACACTGCTGCCACTGCCACTGCAAATCCCGCTGCAAGTGAGCGCAGCTTGGGACCAACAGCGCCCGGGCCCATCCACACACCCCCATTCGCCTCTCTCTCCTCTGCTGCAGCCGTCCAACCAGGGTCGGGTGGGGGAGGTGGTGCTGACCCCCTGTGTGGCAGGCCTGTTAGACAGTTGTCAGCAATGAGTGGGTGCGGTGAGGGCGGTGAGAGTGGGAGTCAGCGGCCTGCTGGTGTGCCGGCCACTGAGGGCGCTGGTGGGGTGCAGAGGAGTGAGGAGGGCAGAGGAGGGAGAGAGGGGGGAGGCGAAGGAGGTGAGGGGAGAGGAGAGGGGGGAGGAGAAGGAGGTGGAATAGGAGGAGGGAGAGAAAAGAAGGGAGGAGGAGAACCTCAAGGGCACTTGCACGCGTGGGACGTCGTGGAAGGGAAGGAGAGCGGTGCAAATGTGATCATGGAGATAGCGGGAGGGGGAGGAGAGCGAAGGAGAGGAAGAGGGGAGGCAGATAGAGGCGGAAGAGAGCCGAGCATGCAGCACGGGCAGTGGTTGGACGATCAGGCATCTGCTGCCAAGCGACCTAAGACCCAACCTGGGGTGGGTGAGGCGGCAGGAATGGGAGGGCAAAAGGAAAGCAGCGGGGCGAACAGGAGGCAATAGGGGCAAGGAAGAGAGAGATTCGCGTGTGGTGGGGCGAGACGATGCACCTTGGAGTCGGTTTTGGGGAAGAGAAGAGGAGGTAGTGAGGCCAGAGGAGTGAGGGAGCAGGTGAAGCGATGTGGTGATGGAAGGTGGGAGTAGGTGGGTGGGGTATGGGCGTGGTGGTGCAGCAGGATTGCAGGTGGAAGCGCTGAGTGGGACGAGGCTATGGGTGTTGACGTGATGGGGCAGTGGGGCGGGCGCATGAGCCTGTCACAACTGCTGAGCGAGTGCGAGGCACCCAGTTCTCAGGCATGGCATCGCAGAGGGATGCAGAAGGGTGTAGTGGTTGTAGTTCGGATCTGATCAGCAGCATATCGGGAAGATGGTAGGAGGGCAGTTGGAGGGCCTGCAGAGAGTGGGCATGGGCTGAAGAGTGCTATCAGTGGAATTGCAGGTTCTGAAGCAAGGGAGAGCAGTAGGAAGGGATTAGTGGCAGTAGGGGCAAAAAGAGCTGGGTACCTTTTGAGTCGGCTAGGTGAAACAGGAATTCAGAGAGGTAGAGAGGGGCAGAGGAGCAAGTGTGTGCGCAGCAGCATGGCGTGGAGGGTGTGGCATGGCCAAGAGTTCCCTGAGCTTCACTTAATGAGGCCTCCCGGCTGATGCATGCAGCAGCATGGGCTAGGAGCGAGTGTGGAAGGGGGACAAGGAGGAGTTAGGCGTGTTAGTGGTGTGTCTGCATTTGGTCGTACCTAAGAACCAGAAGAGGTCAGAAGTTAGGATCAATGTGTTGATTTGTGTCTCACATGAGACTTTTCACAGTATCAGTTATGGTTTTAATCCACGAATATGCAAGACGGACACGCACAGGACAGATGTGTACACCGTGCAAACACCAAACCCAAAGGCATGGACTTTATGGCAATGGCGTCACCTGCATGGATTGAGGTATAAAAGTCATGCATGTGAAGCAAGGAGTTGGAGAGGGGGGTTGTGACAAGGTGGAAGGGGAGTGGATGAAAAGGGATAGATGGCACGGAAGGAACGGGACAAACATGGCAGGGGTTAGCATAGCAGCACATTACTAGTGCATAGGAATTGCTGATGGTGAGCTGTGCAGAGGTTTGCATGCCGAGTGTGAATGTGTTGTGTGTGCGTCTGTGTGTGTGTGTGCGCGCGCGCGCGCGTGCGTGCATTCGTTCGAGAGAGAGAAAGAGAGAGCATGTGTGAAGGGCTCTGGCACCCCAGACAGCCAGCTCCATGCGGATGATGGCCACACATACAGCGAAGACAAAGTTCAGGGCTGCCACATCCACAAGAACTGCAGCCAGTATGAACTGCCACTACCGCCAGCGCTGGTCCATCTTGCAGCAGCGTTGCTAGGCAAACGCCCTGCTGGCCAAGTCTTACAAGGCTGCGGTAGCGGCCTTTCCACAGTCAGCAGCCGATCCCTGCCCCCCATGCCTGGCGGACTAAACGACACTAGAGGAAGAGCTGGTGGGAGTGGCGGAACTGGGAGACTAAGGGTCCACTGGTTGAAGGGCTAGAGAGGTTCCTGGGCTGGTTGAAAGCAGGGTGATGCCTCGTTGGGGATATGTTAAGTTGACCTGATATGGTGATAGGGATGTGCCTGTGGTGATTGACTTGGATGGGTGCTTGGGGAAGGTGCCTGGTTGTTTGTTTCTCTGCCTGGTTGTTGGTTTCTTTATCCGCTGGTATACCAGGCTGTTCTCTTGTTGGCTGGCTCCTTCGCTTGTAGGACCCTCGACTTGAAACATAGTAGCAGATGGCCGAATCCAGGACCTTTGGCAAGAGTAGCTTTTGGCTATTGTTTTATTTGTTGTCTACCTTCCATGCATGCACCTTCTCTTCTACTACAACGAAGGATTACTTGAGAATGTGTGAGTATGTGTGGGCCTGTGAGTGTATATGTGTGCGTATGAAGTGTGTGGGTACATGAGTGTGCATGTGTACGAAGTGTGTCCGTGTATGTGAGATTGTGTGTGTATACTGAATGAAGTACGTATGAAGTGCGTGCGTGTGTGTATTTGTGGGTGGGGGTGTGTGTGCATGTGCTTGTGTATTTTCATGTGTGTGTATGTGTATGTGTGCATGTATGCATGTGTGCATGTGTGCATGTGCATGTCAGTGTGTGTGTGTGTATGTGTCTGTGTGTGTGTGTGTGTGTGTGTGCGTGCGTGTGTGTGTGTGTGTGTGCGTGTGTGTGTGTGTGTGTGTGTGTGTGTCTGTGTGTGTGTGTGTGTGTGTGTGTGTTTGTGTGTGTGTGTGTGCGTGTGTGTGTGCGTGTGTGTGTGTGCGTGTGTGTGTGCGTGTGTGTGTGCGTGTGTGTGTGTGTGTGTGGGGGGGGGGTGCATGTGGGTGTGTGCGTGCGTGCGTGCGTGCGTGCGTGCGTGCGTGCGTGCGTGCGCGTGTGTGTGTGTGTGTGTGTGTGTGCGCGCGTGCGTGCGTGCGTGTGTGTGGGGGGGGGGGAGGTGTGTGTGTGTGTGTACGTGTGTGTGTAGGTTGCAGGTTCGAAAGAAGCATTGAGCACAAGACCTTATAGGCCTAGCCAGAGAGCATGAATTGTGGATAGGGTGGCTAATCCAGGGGCTCTATTCTTGTTTGTTTGTTCTCTTTCACGTTGGAGATCTGTTGTTGTGGTGTTGGTAACAAGATCAAGCACCTATCAGAATATTTTGACAATAATTGCGTCCAACCGTGGAGACCTTTCTCCTTACCCTTAACAAATTATGGCTGGATCTATGTTCGTAACTTGCCCATGTTCCTATCAAAGACAGGCACTAAGAATGCCTCATTGCTCATAGGAAAGGGTTAGTGGCGCAGAGGCTTGAGAGGTTACGGCCGCACTTACCTACGACTTAACAAGTCAATTATCCAACTGGTCTGATGGCTGTGATTCTAAGGTGATATCACAGCAAATATCTCGGGTTTGACTCCCTTTGAGCGCACGCTATCTCTGTGCCTTGTGCTATGGCATGCATGTGAGGCGGGGTGTCAGAAGACTTGCACTATGGATGCCTCGTTGATTCTGTTACACAAGGTGTCAGTAGACCTGTACTGTGAGATCCCCACTTGAACCTAGGGGGGTTACATGCATGTTAGCATGGGGAGGTTTGGACGCACAGACCCGCGTTTGAAACAATCCTTTTTGTCCCAGAAGTTCAGTGGTTGCGATTTTGACATGGTGGCTAAGTGGTCTCAGGTTTGAATCCCGATGTTTGCACATGCAAGCCATTGCCGATGTGCCGGGTCTTGTGCCTCCCAGTGTGAGGGAGTGTCAGGAGACATGCACTGTGAGATGCCCGCTTAATCTTGAGGGGGTTAGAGGCATGTTAGCCTGGAGGAGTTTGTGCGCACGGAACCGCATTTGGAGTACGCGTTTTATAGAATGCTTGTAGTATCTTTCAATTATTCCAGCATATCCCAAGGAAGGGCTATATGTGCATATCCTAGTGGTTTATAGGCACATTCACCCCCATCACTTAACAAGTGGCCTGTGGGTGAGATTTTTAGAATACCATGTTGTGATCAAGCATCGACAAACGTTATTTAGCAGACCTTTCACACCTATTCATTTATTGATCATAAATTACCAGCTTAAAATTGATTTTTGGTTATGATTAGCTTATTGCCTTCCCCTATTCCCTCCATGCCATTAAGAGAGGGTATATATTTGAGAGAGGATATAGGTGTTAATGTGAAATGAATTTGACTGAAGAAATATTGATAACCAAAGAAAGTCTTTCATGCCTCACAACAAGCAACTTCGTCGTTTCTTGAAGTGAATATGAGAGTTCTGTGGCTGACGTGGCACATCTCAACACATTTGGTTCTCATGTCAAAGGCCCCCATGCATTGGCGAGTCTGCACCTCGCCATCATGACCTGGCGCAATCCACCCTGGTGCATGGAAAGGTCAACTACGGATTCCGTGAGGGGCCACCGAAGAGGGCAGTAACGAGTACAGCGTAGTTGCTGGGGCACCGCTCCCCTCCCACCACTCTTTCCCCTTACCCCTACCTCGTCCCGCGCGGTGAGCCCTTGGCAGAACTAGCCCGCCACCCCCGCCAGCAAACCACCCCTCTTCCCCCTCTTCCGCCCACAACTTCCCGAAGCCTCCACGTCATCCCTGGTTTCCACGCAACCACCAGAAATTTATCTGCCATTCCCTGAACGCTTGTGCCTTCAAACAGGCTGCTGCCATTCGTTTACTTCTCGTTGGGGTCGCCTAGATTCTAGCCTAGGCTGCGAATTAGGTGTGCTGACTTTCTGAGATTCTGTGTGGAGCCCATTCGACAGAGCTCATGGCGCTTATGCTGCAACCTTCCCGCGCCGTGACGAGCATCCCTCCAGCCTCGGCAGACTCTCCCCAGCCCACTTCTTCCGCCCGTGTCTCTTTTCCACGAGTCCCGTCCATTCTCTTGGCACAGCGGGGAAAACAGAGATGTCGGACAAGTCTAGTCGCCCATGCGACAGCGAGCAGCAGCGCCGCTTTCGCAGACAATGACAGCGGCGACGCCAGTGGCAGCATTTACGGTGACGATTCCAAGCCTGAGAATCCCGTGGAGGCCAGCGGGCTGGGGTCATCGGACGTGCGTCTCGAGGCACGACGCGCGATCGATTTCTCGGAGCGCCTCATGGCCGACCCTTACCTCCCCGTCGAATCCGCCATGACCACGCCGGTAACTTCGCATTCGCGTCCCACCGCGCGCTCTGATTTTCCTCCTTCCCTTCCTTGTTCTCTACTGCCACAGCGTGCCGTTCAAAACGTCATGGTCCTTGTTTTGCTCCCTCAGAACGACCCATGATCCACTCGCCCCGTTGCGGATGCGCAGGTGGTGACGACGACGCCGGCGAACACGATCAGCAGCATTCTGGACCAGTTCGTACACTTCACGGGGCTGCCCGTGGTGGACCGCGAGGGGCACTGCGTGGGCGTCATCTCCAACATCGACATCGCCAAACACCAGCGCCGCTCCTTCAAAAGCGTCGCCGACGCGCTCGTCAAGTGAGTGTGCACGCCGCGAGTGAGTGTAAGGCGCGGAGGGATGGGAATGGGGGGTGGCAGGAGGAGTATTCGAACAGGGGAAACACACAAACTGGGAAAGTGAATTGAGGTACAGAGAAAGTACGCGAAGTTGGTTGAAGCCGTGCAGTGTGACAGACATCTGCACTTCTGACGTACGTGTGCATATGTGGCTTGGGAATACACGGTTTCAGATGCGGTACGTGAGACATGGAGAATGGTGTGCTGCGTGATGTTGATGGCATGGCAGCTCAAGTTAGGGCTCAAGTAGGTATATAGTTTTCTTGTAAGCTTTCACTCAACAGTGTGCCTGTGACAGCTGCACACATTGTAGCTGTTTTCTGGACTTGAACCCCTCATATGAGAAATGGTATGGCTGTTCTTGTTGCCCCTGTACTGCAGAGAAGTGATGACATCTCCTGCCATTGTCATCACGGAACATGCTCCTGTTGCCTATGCAGCTGGGCTCATGCTCAAACACAAGGTATGCTCACTCACACATGTGGTGGTGGTCATGTAAAGTATGGCTGGGACCTAGGACATAAACTGCCCCACCTACTTCTTACCATGTATCAGTCTCTACCACAACGTCAGCTGTCCCCTTTCCCAGAATGTTATTTAGGAAACATAGCGGTGAAGCCTCTTTGGCGTCTGATGCAGTGTCTTCTCCTGGCGGTTCCATGATGCTGTCTGTGCTGTGTCCCCTCAGATTCACCGTCTGCCTGTTGTGGATAACACAAATGTGGTGGTGGGCATTCTCACCCGCACGGATATCTACGAGCCCCTCATGCCAGCTGTCAACCCAGTGCTCCATCGCCTTGTAGGCTTTGAAGATCCGAAGCCACCCACGGCTAACCTGTAACTGGGGCATGTTCCCAGATAGCAAGCTTGGCTTTTGTAATGGTGGAGAGTTTGGTCTTTTTTAGTTTACTACAACGCTGTATTTTCATGTACTCCTCCATTCAACAGCCAAATGTGGCATAGAAATTGTCCAGGGATGTAAGTAGGGGTTTTGTAAAGTGCGATGTAAGCTTGCAATGTTGCAATGAACTGCTCATATTTATAGACAAATGTACTTCTAGTTGTCCATGTAGAAATACGGCCGGAATATTTATCACGTCGTCGTTTGGCGGAAGACGGAATTGCGGTTGAACACTTTCCGAAGGCCGAGTTGAGCACCACTACCCTTTCAGTTCTAGAATACCGCATCTTCTGCTGCCATTGGCTGGGCCGAGCTCTGCCACGTGGCCATCTTGAATGTCGGGACAGTTCGAAACCTCGATGTTCGCGAATCCCGTTCAGATCTGGTGCACGACCCCTCCTCACGGCGACCTTGGGCTTTCCGGACCAGAAGAAGACTTCGCGAAATGCCATGCGACAAGTCTCACTGCCTCCGCTCACCCTCGGTGTCGCAATCGCAGGGGAGCCAAGTGCATCCCGTCACTCGAGCCGATCACACACCCCCAATGTGACCTCACATCACTCAAACACACCCAATCCAACCCAGGCAGTCCAGGCAGTGTTGTCAGAGCTGTACAGGGCATCCGCAAGTAGAACGACGGACCTTCCTAACAAATTTGTGTACTTCGGCCTTGCCGCGGCATCGGCGAGGCTGGGAACGTCTGTCTGCTTGGTTTTCCGGGTTCCGGTGGCGGACAATTCGTGCTGAGCGTTGTAATTCATCACAACTCCTCGCATCTCGCATCTCCGTCCCAGTCGATCCAGCAACTCTGTCCCATCCATGGCGATCGCGCCAGCGTCTACTCTTCTCGCCATCTTGGCTCTGATCGCGTTGGCGTCCAGTGAATTCCTCCCTGCGCGTGCGATTGAGAACAAATGCAGCGCGTGTGTCGCGATCTCGGTGAGCTGGTGTGAGCTAGGGATAGAAAACGGCGACACGACCACAGTGTACCTCGTTCGAAAAAAAAAAAAAAAAAGTTCCTGAGGAGGGAAAGCTTTTCAAATGATACAAAAATCGAAATGCACTTAATTGAGGGATACGGAGAAACGAACGGAACGAATCAGTGCCTGAAACACCTGCGATTCCATCGAGCTCATCACTTTCTGCCCCTGCCTCGTGTTCTTCCAAACCTGACTTTCGCGCCCGTGCGATTCACGTCACGCGCCCCCGCGTGCCTCCGTTCACTGTCTTTTCCCTCCCGTGTACCCTGCTCCCCCTCCCCCTCTCTCTCCATTTTTTTTGCCGCGCTTTTCCCACACTGTCCCACGCCTTTCCAATTTAATTGCAACCGTGGCGTGCATTGTTGCCAAATCTCCTGGCCACGGCTCTGTTCCTTCCTTCCTCTCCCTCTGACACACCTCTCTCTCTTCTCTGTCCTCCCACACCTCCCTATCCCGCAATTCCGCCATCTCCCCACAAACCCCGGCGCCGCAAATGACGTGGCTGGGCCGGATGTCTCTATGGCGGCTGCGGCGGCATTGACGGCGAGCAGAAGGAGCTGCTGCTGATACTGTCCGAGGTGGGCCATAGGTGGCAGTGTTACGCAGCAGTTGCGAGGAAGAGGGACAGGGGCAGTGGAGGAGGGCAAGAGGGAGAGAGGAAGAGGTGGAAGGGAAGAGGGGAAAATGAAGCGAGGGAGAGGAAGATGGGGAGAGGAAGATGGGGAGAGGAAGATGGTTAGAGGAAGATGGTGAGAGGAAGATGGTGAGAGTAAGATGGTGAGAGGAAGATGGTGAGAGCAAGAGGGAAGAGAGCGAGCAGTGGAGGATGAGGAGGACGAGAAGAGAAGGCTCCTGCAGGGTGGCACGGGACAGTTGGGTTTGCCTCTAACGGTGCTGTGTGCTTGTGGTGGATGGGCATGTGTGTGTATATGTGTATGTGTGCCTGTGTGTTTGTGCGTGCGTATGTGTGTGTGCATGGCGGCATGTGTGAGTGCAGGAGCGGCCGCGCAACCATCTGGACATGAGGAATCGGCTCAACTCAGAGGGCAAGCGCGAGGGCAAGCTCATCGACTACAGGTGCCACGCCGTGGGGTGCGGAGGGATCATGTGCGGTGGAGGGGGATCACGTGTGGTGGGGAGGGGATCACGTGTGGTGGGGAGCGGGTCACATGTGGTGTGCAGTCTAGGGGGCCTGTTGTTACTGGGCATGCTTACCCTGTGCTTGCACTGCACTCATATCTGCATGCTTCCCCTGCCACTCTCCACAATACCTTCCCAAGCCCTCACTTGCACTGCACTATTCGCCGAAATGCGCTACAAGAGAAAATAATCATAACATGGCTTCAACCTGCTATGGTATATGATTGGGGGGGCATTGCATGGCATGGCCCAACATGGCATGGCATGGCATGGCATGGCATGACATGGCATGGCATGGCATGGCATGGCAGGGTGAGCGAGCTGCGAGCAGTGGAGATCCTGGACGGGTTGTGCAAGAAGATGGACAAATACTCTGTCGTCACTGTGAGTGCTGGGGGCCACGCTGCTCAGCGTGTGGGGCGTGGGGTTCTTCTGAGTGCCAGGGGCGCGGGGTTACGAGTTTTTGGGGGGAAGGGCTGAAAGTTGTGGTCATTCTGTGAAGCACGATGCCTCTAGTTCCTTTTCAACTGAAGTGCAGTTGTCGCAAGCAGAGCCATCTCGGATTCCTCTTGTGCCTCCTGACATGTTTCGCCTGTGTGGTTACCCTGTTGGGGGATGTTACAGAAGGACGAGCGGCGGGTGTGGAGCTCGCACCGTGACTACTCTCGATCAGCCAACACTGACAGAAGTGCGCCTCACACGTGCCCTATGCCCCCCTCTCAAACCACCAAAGCACGAGAATATGCACTGTGCTACCCTGCTGCACTCTGTGACTCTTCTACTAAGCCACTTTGCCATTCTGCCATTCTAGGAGCACAATGCATGCTCGTGCCGCCATGCCTTTCTGTTCCAGCCTTTGAAGTCTCCACACAGCCAGACTCTTGAAGCACCCTCTCCACTCCATCCCCGCACCCTATCCCCCCTAAAGCACTCCTCCTTTTCTCCCTCTTTCCCCGTGACCCCACTGGCCCCGTGGGTGGCCCCTTGTTGGCGGTGCAGAGAAGCTGATTCGCGAGGAGCAGGGCAAGGAGATCAAGCGGTGGTGCGACAGGTGAGGGGCCAGCGTGCCCGTTGCTTCTGCATCGTGAGCCAATCCCCAAAAGCAACTCCACTGTGCCACTTCTCCCTGAATCAACTCTTTTGAAGCGACTCCATCATACGCTCTTTCGTTTTCACTCATGCCTTAGTCACCGGTATCTCTTGCTATGGACTAAATGCTTCTCCTCTCTTTCTCCCTTCTCTGTCTTCTTCCCCGTCTGCCACTCTTTCTCCACTCCTCTCTCTCTCTTGTCTATATGCAACCGCAGGCTGCTGGAGGAGTATGAAGATGATGTGAGTGCACTCCTCTTCCCTGGCCCTTCCTTGCATCCCCTCGCTCTCCCTCCCTCTCCCTCCCTCTCGCTCTCTGACGCGCATGCACACAGCCACATGTACAGGAGCCTGCACACACATGCACACCCACACACCCATACACCAACACACACACGCACACCCTCACACCCTCACACCCACACGCTCGCACACACACACACCAACGCACACACGCACACCCTCACACTCTCACACCCACATGCACACACACACACACACGCGCGCGCGCGCACACAGACACACACGCGCACACACACACACACACACACGCGCGCGCGCGCACACAGACACACACGCGCACACACACCCACACCCACACACACACACACCCACACACACCCACACACACACACACACACACACACCCACACACACACCAGGACACTTACACACCCGCTTGCGCCACACTCACCCCCATCCCTCCCACCCGCGTGTCCTTGCCAGATCACGGCACAGCTGCGGGCGGGCGACCTGAACATGGACGCGGACGTGCCCGCGCTGCTGTGTGCGCGCATCACACGCAGCTGCAAGCCCAAGGCGCTGGAGCGCGAGGTGCTTGCTGCCGACGACGGCTCCTCCCCCTCCTCCGGGTCAGTGCCTGCTCTGGGACTCGCACCCTCGCACCACGCGTGCACATGAGTGCACACGCATCTGCTGCTTCTGGTAACCGCTGGCCGTGAAAATTGTGACGACCTCTTCATGGGGTTGTTTTTGTGGCTTCCTGAGACGTCTCAGAACTCACATGAACCAGCAGAATGCTTGCGTACCTGTTGTCGCCTGTGCTGTCTGCAGCCTCAGCAGCAGGATAGTGTATCTCAGGGTTCAACAAACACAACATATTGCACCGCTTACCACCCCCATGGACTCCCACATGTTTATAGCTTCTGTGCACCTCACATTCACGCTCCCCTCCCCTTTGCAAGCCCTTCCTGCAGCTTCCCCCATGCTTGCTGCCGCAATCCCTGATGCTTCTCATATCATCTCCTCTTGTCCTCCGGCTTTCTCTCACAACCTACGTTCATCCGATTCTCTTGTTTTCCCCACCTCCCTCTCCGCCACTGTGACCAGTGTGAGCGCCACCGTATCGCCAGGCACGGGTGGGGGACTGGTGGATGTGACAGAGGAGGAGAGCACCTCGGGTGCTGGTGGTGATGCTGCCGCTGACAAGGCTGCACCGGAGCCGACGGCAGCGGTGGATGAGTTATGAGGGCTCTTTATTGGGTTTTGCATGACTCGGGACGGCATATGGTACTAGTACCAGGTCTTCCATTCGTTCTCACAAATTATTCTAAAGAAAACTCATGGCTGCTTCATGTCAGCATTCAATTATCTACGTGTATCTTTCTGATACTTTCATGGGAGTCACAGCGTCTAAAGCAAGGTTACAACTTGTCAGATTGTTTGAAGCCCTGGTGAAGAGGCAAAACAATGGTAATCCACATGCTAAGCGGTTTTCCTTCTGTGCCATTACCTTGCCACTGGCAAGCTGGGTACCAAGTGACCATGCATAGCCCAACCCACTGGAATGTGCTCCTTCATTCGGTTAGCTTTGTAGGGACAACGCAAAGGCCGGGTTGGTAGGAGTCTCATATGCGGTACTGTTAGCCAAGGCCTTGGCCATGTGTGTCATGTCACGTCGTGCGTATGGTCTCCTACGCAAGGGCCAACGCAGACAACAATTCACAAATCCCTTGCCAGCCACCGAAAGGAAATGAAGAAAATCAGGAACGCAGCTTTCCTTCCATCTCGCACTTGCTGACTACCGCTGCAGGAAAACAGTCCATGGCACTCCTCCTGCCTCACAGTGGGTACTTCACGTCACGCGTCCAGCTCGTCCTCCAGATGCTGGTACTCAAACATAAAGTCGTCCTTCACCCGCTGACACCTGGTAGCACGGCGGCAGGACACGTGGCACGCGGGGCAATGGGAAGAGGGGCAGGATGCATGTACGGTAAGAGAGGGGGTTTTTTCCTTGCACTCAGAACTGAGGTGGCGAGGACGAGCAGACGAAGAGGAGGAAGAGGAAGAGGAAGAGGAGGAAGAGGAAGAGGAAGAGGAGGAAGAGGAGGGGCTCACCAGCCAGTGGAGGCAGCGGGCTGTGCATCGGAGGGGTGGGGGGCGTGCAGGTGGAAGTCAAAGTACACATAGCCGCCCCTCTCGTACTCCTCCGTTATCACCTGCAATGCACGAGCACGGAGAGGGGTTGGGGGAGGGGTGGGCAGCAGAAACGAAAGCTGTCCCGTGTTGCCCAATGGCTGTACCTCCCACCGTATTGGTATGAAGGGCTGTTGAAGTGAGAGAGGGCAGCATGAGCACATGCAGCACAGATGGAGGCAGCACAATGCAAAAGCGCTATGGGGACTGTCACATCTGCATGCACTGCACTGCACCCCTCCCAGCACCACTCCCTCACTCCTGTCTGGATGCAGAGGCAAATTCGTTCCTCCCAGCACCCAGGTTGTTGCTACCAAAGTGGGCATGGGCATGGCGTGTTGGGGCATGGCAGGAGGCTGTGAGAGCCGTGCCCCTAGCGCCCACCACAGTCCCGGTCTGCACAGCACTAGCACGCCTCGCATCGCTAGCATCAACAGCAGTGACTCATCCCAGGGAAAAAAGCCACGCAAGTGATAACCAAGCCCTAACCAAGCCGTGCAAGGGGATACCAGGGCATGCAAGGGCATGCAACACAGCATGGCACGGCAGGCAGTGGGGGCTCACGGGCGGGGTGACGTGGCGCTGGAACCAGGTGTTGTAGCCCTTGTGGAAGCGCCATGACTGCTTCTTCAGCTCCCTCGCTGCCAGGTACTGCATGTACGTGCTCTGTGGCGCACAGCGAGGGGCCAGGGGAACCAGTAGTGATGCGTGAGAGTGAGGGAGTGAGAGTGAGTGCGTGGGTGAGTGAGCGAGTGTGTGTGCGTGCGTGTGTGTGCGTGAGTGAGTGTGAGTGAGTGGTAAGACAGTTTCAAGGGCCATGGTCACATGGCTAGGTGGATTATACCAGGTTGAATGAGAAGCACATATGCACGTGACACACAGCAAATTTTCTTGAGCATGTGTTAACATACAACAATCCATCTGATTTCGCACATGCGCATGAACAACAAGCAAGCGAGCTACACAAAAAGCGCACGAGTGAGAAACGGAAAGAGAGTAGCAAGGGAGCAGGAGCAGGCCTGTTGGAAGTAGAAGGCGAAGAAGAGTGCGTCCATGCCAAGGCGCTCAAAGAGCGCGCGCGCATGCTCCGGTGCGATGGGCTTGTGCGGCCACATGGCCGGCACCTCACACGGCCGCCCCGGCCTCACCACCGCACTCGGTGCACTGATACATGAGGGGGGGTGGGGGTGTTGCGAGTGGAGGGCAGCGGTAAGGTGAGGTGAGGGAACGGGGAGCGAGAGTTTAGGGAGATGGGGGGGGAGAGCGGAGGCAAGAGGAAGAGAATCGAGAGAGCAGAAAAAGGTGTGGTGAGGGTGAAAGGTGTGGTGAGGATGAAAGGTGTGGTGAGGGGGAAAGGACTGGTGGGTGACAGGTCTGGTGGGTGACAGGTCTGGTGGGTGACAGGTCTGGTGGGTGACAGGTCTGGTGGGTGACAGGTCTGGTGGGTGACAGGTCTGGTGGGTGACAGGTCTGGTGGGTGACAGGTCTGGTGGGTGACAGGTCTGGTGGGTGACAGGTGTGGTGGGTGACAGGTGTGGTGGGTGACAGGTGTGGTGGGTGACAGGTGTGGTGGGTGACAGGTGTGGTGGGTGACAGGTGTGGTGGGTGACAGGTCTGGTGAGTGACAGGTGTGGTGAGTGACAGGTGTGGTGAGTGACAGGTGTGGTGAGTGACAGGTGTGGTGAGTGACAGGTGTGAGGTGTGGTGAGTGACAGGTGTGGTGAGGCGCAAAAGAAAGCTCTTTGTTGCAAGGTCCGTGCACCTAATCCCGTCACCAGCCAGTGCTTCAAGTGTGCTCTGCCTTCATTTGCCCTCTCTGGACTCTGCACTCCCCTTCCACCCTTCTCTTTTCCCCCTCTCCCCTCTCCACAACCCCTTTCCCCTCCTCTCTCTTCGCTCCCCTCTCCCCTTTACCCCCTCCGCCTAGCACACGCTTGCCCACCTGGTGCGGAGCACGCGGTCGTCCATGCCATGGTCGCGCATGTGCTGGAACCCACACTGCAGCGCACTGCGCTCCTCCTCCCGCCGCCGCTCCACTCCCCATGCTGCAGCAAGCACCCATGGGTAAAAATGGGGAACACACAGCACAGCGCAGAAATGAGATTCCAGCACACATGGCTGACAGCACCGGCAATGGCATGAGGGCAATGGCACGAGGGCAGAAGTGACCTAGCAGCAGCACACACCAGGAGAGGGGGTTCGTGCAGTGGGAGCGCCCATTCCACCCTGCCCTGCACTCGCAACCCCTCCCCTTCCTGCTGCCGCTGCTGCTGCTGCGCCTGAGGCTACTGGTAGCGCTGCTCCTCCTGCTCCTCCTCCGCCTGCTCCTCCTACCGCTGCTCTGCCCCACGCAGGCTGCATCTGTGTGCCTGCAGCAGCAGCACGAAAGGCAGCAGCAGCACTCGCAGCGGCAGCGCTTGCAGCATTGCCAGCAGCAGCAGCACCAGAAACAGGAGGCATCCCGCGCGCATGGCCCGCAGCAGCTGCCCCTGCCGACGCTGCTGATGCAGCAGCAGCAAGCGAGGTGGCTTGCAGCAGGGACGGGGACGCGGAGGGGGAAGGGGAGGGCGACGGGGAGGGTGCAAGCCCACCACTGCCTCCCAGGGGAACAACCCAGGCGGAGGGGGGGCGCATAGGCGCAGAGGGGGGGGCCTGTGACGGCCCTAGCATGGGCATGGACTGGGTGCGGTCAAGAGCGGTGAGGGAGGGGTGGTGATCTGGGAGCTGCGGGAGGGGGTGCGGTGCCTGGTTGCCTTGCACTGGTGGCCGCACCAGCTGTGGTTGCACCAGCTGAGACGACTGGAACATCTGCTGCGCTTGCGCCCTCTCCTGCTGCTGCTGCTGCTGCTGCTGCTGCTGCAGCTTGTGAGAGGCGAGAGCCATCTGCTGCGCCTGCTGAGCCAGCAGGCTCTGCTGCAGGGACGGCAGCACACCTCCCTGTGCCCCCGGGTGCCCCGGCAACTGCCGTAACAGCGCCTGCTGCTGCTGCTGCACTTGCTGCACCTGCTGCGCCTGCTGCACCTGCTGTTGCTGCTGAGCGAGCAACGGCATTGCAGCATGCTGCTGCATGAGGTGCTGGTGCTGCAGCTTCTGCATGAGCACTCGGGAGAGGTTGGGAGGCATCTGCTGCAGCGCACCAGGCATGTCTGCAGGCGCCCGCTGCCATGCCCCTGCTGCAGCCGCAGCAGCACCAAGACCAACACTGCCAGCAGCAGCAGCAGCGGCGGCGGTGTAGAGAAGCAGGGACAGAAGCAACACCCTGAGCGTCATTCTGGCTCATCTCCCCAGCCATTCTTCCCTGTAGCACAGGTGGCGCCAGCCCACTCCCCAGCATCGGCACTCCATGCTGCCCTGCCCCGCCTCCCCCTGCTCCCCCTGCTCCCCCTATTCCCCCTGCTGCGCCTGCTCCCCCTGCTCCCCCTATTCCCCCTGCTCCGCCTGCTCCCCCTGCTCCCCCTATTCCCCCTGCTCCGCCTGCTCCCCCTGCTCCCCCTGTTCCCCCTGCTCCGCCTGCTGCCCCTGCCCCCTGCTGCCTCCCATCCAAGGTCCCGGGGAAACCCGCCCCACCTGCCCCAGCTCCCCACCTGGCCCCTGGGCCGCCCTGGAGGGGGAGCGTTCCCCCAGGCGCTGCCACTGGTGGGGGAAGCACGGGGGGCGTGGTGGGGAGATGCGCAGCAAGCCCAGTGCCACCACTCTCCATGAGGGGGGGTGGGGGTTGAGAAGCAAGAGCGTCTAGGTTGTCAGGGAGGGAAGGTAGGTCCACTGTGATTGCAGAGGCTGCTCGCCGCATCAGCAGTGACGACTGCTTGCCTGCAACAAAGTGTATTGCACAAGGAGGAAGAGGTACGATGGGCCGTGGCAGGTTAGACTGTTGGGGTTGCCGAATGCCATTGCCTGCAACATAGTGTATTGCACACAAGCGCAATGGATAGATGTGCGCTCCTTGCTGGATTATATCGGATGTGGGGATTCACACTGCAGGAACGCAAGCCAAGTCGCAAGAAACCTAGCAAGCACAGGGCAATTAACTACCATCAGCGACTCACCTTCAGCTGCCACGGGGCTGGATGGACCAGCAGATGCAGGGCGGGACAGAAGCAGCTCCGAGGGGAGCGCAGAGGCATCCTGGGTGCGCGCATGAGCGCTACTGCCACTGCCCTCCGCTCCACCCTCTGCCCCACCACCCCTGCCACTCACACCTCCTCCAACCACAGCAGCAGCAGCAGCAGCAGCAGCGCCAGCAGCAGTGGCAGTGGCAGCAGCAGCGACGGTTGTTGCAGTGAGCTGTTCCTTTCCAGGAGCGGGTGCAGGGGCGGGTGCTGCTCCCTGCCCCCTGTCCTGCTGCTGCAACCCGCCTCTCCTTCCCGCACCCGCCGCAGCGGCTGCAGAGGAATCGGTAGTGGTGGCAGCAGCAGCAGCAGCGAGTGCAGCAGAGCGGATGGATGTGAGAGAGCGTAGAAACGCAATGCTCCCCCCCATATCCACCCTCCCTGCCGCCCCTCCCGCCTCCTTCTCCCTCCGCTCCTCCCTCTCCCCACCCGCACTCGCCGGTGCCTTCTCTGCGCCCTTCCCCACCAGACTACTCCCACCACCGGTGCTGCCTACCTTACCAAGAACACTACCAGCGCTGCTGCTAGTCTTCTCCTGCACTGCACTACTCTCAGCCCCTGCTCTCCCTGCCTTCCTTCTCCCTGCGTCCCGTGCGCTCGTGGAAGCTTCCTTCCCCTCCCCTTCTTCCAGCAGCACTGCTGGTTTGTCCGCCTGGACTGCCTTTGCAATGGATGGTTCTGGGCGGTGGGGGGTCGCAGGAGACAAGAAACAATTGGACCGGTTAAGGTTCAGACAGGCACAAGCATGAAAGTAAAAGCACAATATATCCCCATTGTTCAACATAAGGCAGCAAAAAGTGACATACCAACAGCGCAAATTCTGTATGAAAGCCACAGCAGGCAACCCACCAAGCACACCTTTGGTCTGCGCTCCACCCTTGTGCTTCACTCCTCCCTCCGCGCCTTCCTCATCCCCCAACTGGATTGACAGCGTCGACGACTGTGCAGCACCCTTCTCATCCCACCCCGCCTCCCCACCAGCCCCCTTCCCTCCCCCACCGCCCCCACCCTTGCCCCCGCCTCGCCCCGCCACTCCCCCTTCCCGCCGCTCCCTCTCCCCGCCCACCTCCCCCTCCGCCCTGCCTTTCCCCTTCGCCTCCCCCTCTGCACCACCCGCTTGGTCCAGCCCCTTGCGGTGCTGGGGTCGGAACGACGCTGAGAGGTGGCGCTCTGGAGCAGCAGAGACACGCGAGAGAGGGCTGCCGGTGGCAGCAGCGGCTGTGGTAGCAGGTTCAAACACGGTGGGCAGTGGTGAGAATGGCTTGAGGGGCGAGGAGGCGAGGAGGGATGAGGACGGGGAGGGGGAGAGGGGGGACGGGGAGAGGGGGGACGTGTCGAGCCTGGGGTCCTTGCGTGGGCTCGACAGGGTGGATGGTAGTCGCGCTGTGAGAGGGAGAAGGGAAGGGGACGGAGTGGGTTATATGGTGAATCAGGTTACACCCATGAAACAGGGCATGGAGGGAAGGGACTTGACAGGCAGGCATGGGCTGGCATGAATGGGTTGGCACACGCACCTTTCAGTTTTCCGATTTGAGGGCTGCCGAGCTCCTGAACAGAGGCAACGCACAGCAGCACACGGCAACACACATTCGTCAGTCCCTGCCACAGCCTGAACACATCTCCAGCTAAATTAACGCAAACAAAGACCACACAGCGTCAGGCACGGATGTTGTAATGCGAGGAAAGCAGAGAACGAGGGAGTGTTGAGTCAAGTCAAAGGTGAGCTGGAACGAAGAGGACAGTGGGGGAGGGAAAGGGGCACCTTGGGCGGGGAGTCGTGGGTGGAAGAGAACGGCGAGGAGGAGGCCGTGGTGTGTGGACTCATAGATGCCGTGGGTGTGCGGGAGCCTGCAGAGCGTCACAGCCAGGGCGCACAGCATCGCATGGCACAGCAGCACAACAACTCAGAGAAGAAGCACTACAGCACACCCTTCTGATATTCACAGCCATGAAGGAAGAAGACGACGGTACGGCCCGCGGACAAAAGGCAGCAGGCTGTGCGGTGTAGTGTGGTGCGGTGCGATGCCATGCGGTGCCGGGCTGTGCAGTGCGGCAACTTACTGGTGGAGAATGCAGCAGAGTCGTCAGCGAGTTTGCCAAATAGCTTGTGGAAGGGCATGTCGTCGTACAGTGCATCGTCTGCCATGTAGTCCTCGTCCTGGTGCCGGGGTCAGCCACACCACATGCACACACAGCTTGTGAGACTATGATAATACATCAGGGAAAATTTGAATAGTTGTAAATAATTATGAAAGTAGTACTCATGCTTATTACTATACCCAAAACAATGGGTCTTGCACAAGGAGACGGATCATGTGAGAGAGATGGCGCACCTGGTGCATGTCGAGGTACCAGGAGATGCTCTCCTTGAGTGCATCCACGTCCTCAGGCGATATCTCCTCGTTCTCCAGCAGCCGCAGCACCTGCACCGCCATGCACCGCACCACATTCCCACCAATCAGTCAGCCTCACATGGAACTGCAACGTGCACGGTGGCATGTGCATGGTTGCATGTGCATGGTGCCGTGTGCATGGTGCCATGTGCATGGTGCCATGTGCATGGTGCCATGTGCATGGTGCCGTGTGCATGGTGCCGTATGCATGGTGCCATGTGCATGGTGCCATGTGCATGGTGCCACTACTACACCATCTCAAACCACTTGCCTGATCCAACTTGGTCTTGTGCCAGCCATGCTGCAGGGAAGGGACGGGAAGCAGGGAAGGAGGAGGGGCAGTTGTTGGCAAAGCAAATTGGATCCACCACCCACACCCCCCAGGAGCGATGCACCCATATCCATTGACCCATAAGCCTGTGAGTAACACAAAACTTCGCATGGTTGTGAAGGAACATTTCAACTTCTGAACTATGTGAGGGAATCCTCAAGAGCACGTCAATGCTATGGCATGTTTCCTGCAGAACCACCCATCATGATCATCATCGTACCTTGGTGACATGGCCTTCCAGCTCCAGCACCTTAGCGTTCAGCTTCTTGCCCGTCTTGCCACCTGCCAGCCAAGTGAAGACGATTCACATGAAGATGATGCGGCAACAGAACAATGTTGCCGTGTGGACAGAAGAGAAAAATCGCCAGTGGAAATGCTGGGAGTGGTGGGAGTGGTGGGAGTGCTAGGCACGCTGGAAGGATTAGAAATGCTAGGAGTGCGGAGCGGTACCTGAGATGGTTTCGATCTCGGCCTCGTACTCATCGATCTGCACCTGCAGAGAATCCATTGACTGCCCCACACAAACACCACAGCAACGGATAGTCACGCTTCAAACCACAGCCTCTGGTTGTACCATGTGTTGGTGCGTTGAATCGAAAGAGCTCCAATACACTGGATTCGAATTGGAAAATAATCTAGACGTCTGGAGCAAAAGCAGCTGACAGGGAAGCAGCTGACAGGGAAGCAGCTGACAGGGAAGCAGCTGACAGGGAAGCAGCTGACAGGGAAGCAGCTGACCTTCTTCAGAAACGCTGCTGCCTCCACTTTCGCCTTCTCAGACGGATCCTTCCGGGGCTGCCGCACACACACCACACCACACACCATACGCAGCCTTAAGAATGCTTAAACATAGGGCAGGCATAACACAGGCCACAGGGCAGGCATAACAAGGAATGCAATGTCACACTGATGCAATGATGCTGCTGATGCTGTTGCATCACCACCATCGCATTGCAATGCTGCCGGGCAGAGGCGGCGGCAGCGATAGCAGCAGCAGCAGCAGCGGCGGCGGCGGCGGCGGCGGCAGCAGCAGCAGCAGAGACCTGCTGCACGAGGCCTTCCTTGGAGAAGGCCTTGATCTTGCTGGCCTTCTCGCACTGCTTGAACCGCTCCATCTCCACCTCTATCTGCCGCCGCGCCGCCTCCAGCTCCTCCAAGTGCGCCTTGGCCTCGCTCGTCGACAGCCATGACCGGATCTGGTCCCTCACACTGCCAGGAAGAGCCGGGACAGGGGTCGGGGATCAAGGATCAAGGCCGGGGCGAGGGATTGGGAGCAGAGTTGGGAGTGGAAAGTGGGGATTATGCATGGACTTGGCAGCTTGAAGCGGTGCTTCCGATCCAACCAGGCGATTTCCATCAGAGAAAGTTTTGCAAGCATATGGAAAAGGTCATGACATGTCGATCGGACTGATCCCAACCTGCATGCCTGGATACCAGCAGGAAACCGACAAGAACGACCGGAAACCGACCGGAACCGATCAGAAACATACCAGATACCGATCAGACCGATCTGAATCCAGCGGGTGGCTTACCGTTGGAGGCGCTTGAGCTCCTTCTTCAGCTCCCCCTCGAACTTCTCCTTCTTCGTCACCTGCGCGCCGCACCACGCGCACCGCAACCGGTCATCACTATATATCCCTATCCTCACCTCCTCTCCGAAATAGAAAATCAAACAAAATAAAACAAAGGAAGAAGAAGAAAAACATCCAACAATCCACGCAATATGCGCGTGGATCGCGCGTACATCAGTGGCCTCGTCCATCTTCTGCCACGTGGACTGGAACTCGTCGATCCCCTCCTGTACTCGCTTCAGCGTCCGTTCCATCTCCAGGTGCATCTTCCTCGAAGCCGCCATGGCGGGCCGCGCTCTGCTGCACCGCAACAGCACCAGTCACAATCCCGCTCGAGGATTGGGAGTTCCGGCGAAGGATCGGAAGCAAAATTCCCCTGTGAGACCTCTAAGCGCGAGTAGTCACAGCGCTCGCGAACGGAGCGAGCGGAGCGAACGACACCATTAGGAGGTGGAGACAGCACCGAGGATTCGGCCCGATAAACCTCCATAATCTCGCTCGCTTTCTCATTCCCCCTTTCCCCGTCGCCCTGTGTGTGCCTGAGGCTGCGCGCCATCCCCGGGTGGCGAGCTCCGCGTGACGGGCGACTACCGCTGCCACCCAGTCAGTATAAGGGGACCGCAGAGGTGCGCGGCAGTCCCAAGGTGACCCCAGAGCACGCCCCTTCGAGAAAACCTGCACTTGCTTTTCTCTCCTACTATCACACCAAGGCCGCTAGTGCAACCCGGCGCAGTGCACTGAGAGGCTCGCCGCGTCACCATATCCACCTGGAGGGACCACAGAATCCAACTTCAAGAGAACCAGAGCTGTGGCAGGAGCAAACGAAACTCGTGCCTTCATGCTGCCACGCGAACCTCGAATTTGCTCATTTGCATGCAGAGCAGACTGTCATGTCCCTCGGCGCGCTGCAGGCTGGCGTCGCCGTACGGACGTTGGCGGCTGAACAACTCGAGTATCGAGGCACACCGGATATTTTACGCGCTTTGCTAAATCATTACAAGAGCACAGACCTTTGAAGATTTTATTGACAAGACAAATCAAGCACAAAGCAGTTGACTAAAATACAAATCAAACCTTATGGTTCAGAGGAAGCGACAACTGTACTACACTGATATCCTAACGACGTGTAACCAAAACATATAAAAGAAATCAGCAGTACCGTATCAATGAACCCATGGATGAAACGACTTGGTACCAGCAGCCGCCACCCTCGTGTGTTTCCTTGGAGGATGACATGTGAATCAGGATGACATCATTTCAAGCAGGTGGTCGGGCCCATGCCCATCCCCATCCACTTTCCCCACCTGAGCTTCAAGAAGCAGCTCCTGCAGCAGAACCCCGTAATCCACCACCCCTCCTCCCCCATCCGCTGCCTGCTGCAGCTGCTGCAGCTGGGACAGCTTCAACGCTTCTGCCTGCTCCTGCTTCTCATTCCGCATCCGAGCCTGCTGCTGCTGGCTGTGCTGGTGCTGCAGGAACATCAGATGCCCCGGGGAAAGAAACGGGCTCGCATCCTGCTGCAGAGACGGCCGCGCTCGCTCCACCTTCACCTGCTCCTGCTGTAGCTGCAGCTCCTGCCGCAACTCCTGCTCCTGCTGCTGCAGCAGCAGCAGCTCCCTCTCCTGCAACACGCCATCCCCTGCAGCACCACTCCCAGTGCCCGTGCCAACGCTCGTCGCCGCACCAAGCCCCATGGGGGCAGCATTGGCGGCGTCAGGAGAGGGATACGAAAAGGCGTCTTTAGGCTTGCAGGGAGGCGCTGTCCCCGTGAGCAGGTCCGCTATGTCTGCCATGCCCGGCGCACCCAACATGCCCGGCACGCCCGAGACATCCTTGAGCGACTCCAAGTAGCTCTGCCGCACCACTGACAGGTTGAACGCCTCCGCTGCAGCATTCGTGCCGCCAGTGACGTTACCACCGCCACTGGCGGCTGTAGCAGCGAGAGCTGGAGAAACAGAGCGCATGGTGCTTGCCGAGTGCCCACCGCCCACGAGGACCCTGCCATCAGCGGACGACAGGCAGAGACCCCCAGAAAGCCCGGCTGTGAGCGCTCCCCCAGATTCAGAAGGGCTCGGGCCGATCCACAAGCCAGCACCGACCGCGCTCCTCCATGAGTCCGTGCCCGCGCGGCCTCGCCCGCCTTCCCCTGCAGCCGCAGTGGAAGCAGACGCGGAAGCAGCAGAAGCGGAAGCGGAGAATGCAGCGGGATCCATACTCGCGTCGCCACCCACGCACGCTGCAAAGGCGTCGGCGTGGAACGCGGGGGAATCGGAGCCGACAGGCTGGGAGATCCAGTCAAACAGCCCGTCCACAGAAGTGGGGAACCCGAACGCGCCCGCGCCGCTGCCTGCTGCTGTGAGCGCGGAGGGGTCCGCGCGCTGCTGCTGCGTGTGCAGGTGCCGCCGCTGCTTCGCGTGCAGCTGCGCTTGCAGCCCGCCCACCACGCTGCTCAGCGCCGTCGCGTTGGGCAGTGACGCAGCGGTCGCGCCCGGTGCGTTGCGGTGGAGAGCGGTGGGCGACGCGCCTGCGGCGTGAAGCAGGGAGGGCTGTGGCGGCGAGGGCACGGGGGGAAGGCCGAGCGCCTTCATCAGCTGGCGCACGGACGCGGCGGAGCTCCCGAGGGGCGGAGTGGCGGAGCCCCCCGAGTGCGCGCCAGGAGATCCCCCTGCCGAGCTGTGCCCGTGTCCGTGCCTGCGCCGCAGCTTCGCCAGCAGGCTCGGCACGGAGTGGTTGGGCAGAGTGAGGTGCTTGCGCAGGGAGGCGGGTTGGAGGGGGCTATTGCTGCGCCGCTGGCTGTGGGCAGAGGGGCCCGCGGGAGGCAGGGGGAAGGGTGCAGGGGGGATCTCCGCAGGCGCAGGGGGGACGGACGCGGCGGAGGGAAGTGACGGGGTGGTGGCGTCGAGGCCGAGCATGTTGCAGAGATTGCTGCGCGGACGAGCGGCAATGGGAGAGGAGGGACGGCACAGGCAGACCCAGGGACAGGAGAGCAGAGGGTGAGGCGCGGTACAGAGGTGGTCAGACAGGTCGTCAAGGGGTCAGGGCGGAAAAGACGCGCGGGATGCATGGGCAAGCAGGGGAAGGCGCTGCGCTAACGAAAACGAGCGAAGGATCGGCCGCGACTCGCGCTTACCGCATATCAGCGGACGGAGGAGCCTTCCCCGCCGCGCGCGGAAGACCCTCGGATGCGGTTTCTTGATACGCGCCCGCGGCGCGATGGATGGGCGACGCGGATGATCCAAGCCCCGGATGTCTCCCGTCCACGCGCCGCAGCGCTGATACCGCTGACGTGGACGCGCTGGCGGAGAGATTCGCCGCCGTCGCCGTCGCCGTCGCCGTCGTCGTCACCCCTGCGACGTCCACGTCGACGTCGCCACCACCAGTCGTCGCAGTGCTCCCGCCAGGCGTGCCAGTCGCGGATCCCCCGTTAATCGACTTGCCATCCACCGACATTGCGCGCGGCGCACCGTCCACGGCGGAGCCCAGCGATGCGCCATAGGTAGCCTGCAACTGCGGGGAAGCGTCCGCGCGGAGCGGGGGACGCGTCGCGGAGACGAACCGTCGGAGGCGCTTCATATCGGAGAGATCGCCGGCGGCAACAGCCGCGGACGCCGCGGCGCCGGCCGCCATAAAGTTCCCGCCTTCCGACAGCGCGCGCTTGTGGCTGAGCCCCGTGGCCTCCCATTCAAGCCCCGCCTGCCCTCCGCCCGCCACGCCGGTCGCGCCGGTCGCGGACGATGCGCCCCGCGCACTCATATCGAACAGCGCAGACGGCCGCAAGACCTCCGCGGAACCCGCCTGCTCGCCATCCGCGTCATCGTCGGGTGCGCATGGTTCCAGAGTAGTGCTGCCGCAACCCCCGCTGCCGCGTCCGGTTCCGCTGCAAGTGGCGGAGCCCGGCCCGGGAAGCTCCTGCGGCGTTTTCGGCTGGTCGCTTGCGCTCCGCATCTCAGCGCTTCCGCTTGCGCCGCCGGCTGAGGCGGAAGCGGCGGGATCGGCGGATGAGCCGGCGGCTGCGGGCCCGCCGGCGACCTTAAGATCCGCGCTTGCCGCGGCAGATGGCGCAGTTGCGGCGACGGCAGGAGGGGGAAGCGGAGAGGACGCGGTTCCGACTTGAGCCATGACGCCGCGAGTGGGGGCGGAGCCGCTGCGGTGAGTGGAGGATGGCGCGGGCGCGGAGCAATGGGAAGGTTTGGGGGCGTCCGCCCACGATGGAGGCGCGGGAGACATAGCATCCGCGGACGGGGAGAGCTCGAGAAACTTCCTGCGAGGGGCAATGGGGGAACGAGGGAGGGAGGGAGTGTGGGAATGAAAGGGGAGGGAGGAAGGAACGGGGAAAGAGAAGAACGGAGCGATGACGCGAAAGCTCGGGTACCAAAGGTGGCGTGAGGAAAGGGAACAGGGGGACGCGAGGTGACGACGATAAAGAAAAAGAAAGGACGTGAAAGTCAACATAGCGGAAAAGAATGAAGAGAGGCGAGGTGGTGACACGAGGATAAGCGAGACGAGGCGAGGCGAGGCAAGGCGAGGCGCACTTTTTGAGCAGGATGAAACGGTTGCAGCACGCCTTGTTGTCGCGGTACGGCAGCAGGCCGCTGCTCTTGAGCAGGCCCCAGTTCGTCGTGCCGTGCGCCGTGACGTGCGCCAGCAGAATCGCGTCCTCCTGCGCGCACCGCAACACACGCCGCGCACACAGGCAGCGGGAGAAAGGGAATATCTGAGACGCCTCATAACTCAACTTTTATCAAGCAAGAGAACGGGAAATGAGGAAACAGGTACGGCTGGTAAGCGACGAGAGTAAGGTATGGTGCAGCGCGGAGCCATGGGATTCACGCGTGAAAATGGAACGGGAACGGTGGAATATCGATAAGTTCACGCGAACGAACAGCTACGGGAATGGGTTGGCAACTTACCTCTGACGTCCATCGGCTCAGGTATTTGCCACCGGGCGGGCGAGCCTGACTGGGATCTAGAGGACGCTGTGGTTTCGCCTCCATGAGGTGGTTCTGGCGCTGCTGCTGCTGCTGCTGCACGTGATGCGGCTGATGCTGCCGCTGATTCTGCTGGTGCTGCTGAAGCAAGCCGGCGCTGCAGCCCGCTAGGTCCTCGTGCGAATGCACCTGGTGCTGAAACTCGGAGCAGATGTTGCGGTGCGGAAACTGCTGGTGCAGCTGAGACATAGTCAGGCCGCCGTAATCGACCATAAGCATGCGCGCGGCGCTGGAATCCAGCTCTAAGTGTGCGGTCGCCATTGATGCTGGCATAATGGAGCAGCGGGGATAAAGAGGATCCATTCTCGCGGCATGAAATTGGCTCCGGGGAACTCCGAAAACGATTTGCTGAAGAAACAAATGGGCTGAAGCTACAGTGGCTTGGGCTCGCGGGGTTCTACAACCCCAGATATCTCACATACAACTGGGTGAACGTCAGCGGAACAGAAGTTGGGTGCTCTGCTTGTTTGGCTGGGAAAGGAACAGAGTTGGTTGTGTGGTGTGTTATGGTTTAGTGTGTTTTGAAGTGGTGGAGCGGAGTAGCAGAGTGGTAGAAACCTGGAAGAAGACGAGGAGATCGACCCTAGTTACCAGTTGCAATTCCTGGCGTCTGCTGTAGCAGTTGTCAGAAAAGAGGTTGCTGGCAGTGGCGGAAACGATGTCCGGCTTGGGAAGGGGAGCAGCGGGGGAGAAGGGGAAGGGGGAGGAGAGGAGAAAGTATCCTCTCACGCCCCCAACGATCCCGTTCTGCCAATCGTGTGTGTACAACTCTCTGCGGACTTCATTGGTCCACGCGGGATGGCAGGGTTGCAACAGTTAAAAAGTCGGAATCTGTTCATGGGCGTGGTGGGAGAAGGGGTCCATTTCAACGGTCTCGATTGTGGATTCGGGTTGATGGACGAGCAGATTTGCACATGATGGACTAGGGTTTGGCCTCCTTTTGATACTTACCCTGGTGGGTAGCTTCGACACGCCATCCGCCGCTGTCGGCTTGCGTCGTCTGCATCAGCGAGGGAGAGTGAGACAAGCTTGAAATGTAGGCAGATGGGCATGACAGCCTGGCCAAATCGGGGGAACTGATTGGCGCGTGAGAGAATGAGACGAATGCAGCTTGGAATGGGACCGTGGGCAAAAGTTTCCGTAGGTACAGTTCCATCACGACAGACCATGACGAGGTCCTTGTGGGAGCAGCGGAAGAAAATAGTATTCCGAGGGTCCACCACAGAAGAACCACGGTGTACACCAGCGTTCACCACGAGGTGACCCAAAAACTGCAGTAGGGCCAACATGTCCATCACGATGAAAAAATACACCACACTGTCCCACACTGGCACTATGCATGTACACGTACCGCTGTAATCAGTGAATGCGCTTTTTGCAATGAGAGATCGACGGTCGTGGCAGCTGCCCACAGTTCAGAGACCAACAACAAAAAAACACTGTAAGCTACCCGTATTTTTCACACGCAAAACACGATAACCAGCGATGGTTGGATGGATGAGCGGGATTTGCACCAGATTTTAAGGTTGTTGTCTGGGTAGTGCACCTCATTACACCCGCTAAGGAACAAGATGCTCTGGCTACCCGAGCGCGAGTGGGGGCCCAGTTTGGCAGGCATCATGGCCATTATGGCCAGAATGGGCATTTTTAACGGGCCCCAAAAAAATGCCGCCTGGGCATTTCAAGAAACAGCTTCGAAATCGGATTGTAGCTGCAATGCACCTTCGAAAAGAATGGGTTGAGTGTTTGGTTGGCATTTTTCTGGGTGTTATTGATGGCATCAATCTAAATTTAGGGTTTGGCAGAAGATGGTATGCATTTGCAATGATGGTTCGTTGATCACGTGATTGGCTGGCAGTCACTTTTGGTCCGGGTTTGGCAGGCATCAAAAAAGGGGGCGAGGGGGATGGGCTACAGTGAACCGACCACCCTGGAACCTTCCCTGATAAGCGTGTGAAAGGCTATCAAGGCTCGATATAAGCGGACTACGCCGAACCTAACAATAATGGAATGCCAACCAAACACCCCTTTTTTTGGAGGCGTTTTCAAGCTGCCGGAATCTACACCCAACCCATTTTCTCTGGCAAAGTGCCCATTTTCCGATCCCCCGCACCATGCGGACTAAGGCCCCGCACCATGAGGGGTATCAGTGATTCGGGGCAATTAAAAGTGACTGGTCAAATATGCCAGCCAATCACATGATCACGCGATCGATCATAGCAACTGCCTCCCATCTTCTGCGAAACCCTAAATGTCGATTGATGCCATCAATCTACACCCAAATAATGCCAACCAAACACTCAACCCCTTTTTTTCCGAATGGCTCTGCAGCTTCTATTCGACTTCTAAGCTGTTTCGTGAAATGCCCAGGCGGCATTTTTTGGGGACCCGTTAAAGCCCGCGTCTCATATTTCCGCCCTTTCGACCAAGCATAATACGGTAGAAAACTGGTAACAGGGTTCCCGTCGCCAAAAAACACCTGCGGGGGGCAGAGGTTTGGGGGCTGGTTGGGTTTGTGCTTCTCGCCTAGAAATATTGTCGTGACCCAACCAGGGAGCAGGAAAGCAATCGAACGTGCACCAAACCATAGTCTGGAAAAGCACCTGACCAAATCTTCCTCCCAGTTTGTGGTTCGGTCGTGCGACACAACCTCTCCATGCGAAAGTCTCCCACAGCGAGACCAACCATATTACTCGAGCGGGGAAATATAGAGACTGCGTTTCACGCATCTTTCCACTCCCGCCAGTCAAAAAGCCTATCAAGTGTATTACGCTAGAACGGGGCGACATCCACAGCCGTATCGCATAAACTAAATCAGAAATAGGGGACTCGTCAAGTCCGGCGCCTCTGTCGTTCGACCTTCTCGTATCAGGCACCTCTCGCTGTAGGTAAAAGGCGTCTCGTCGAACGCCGTGCGTCATTCCCGCAGGCCGCGATTGGTACACCAGGCTCCTCACGCACATCAGGGGCACAGCGCCAGTGATAAATATAGCTCTTGTAACGGTACGACGACAAACATGAGAAAAGGTGAAACACTAGATATGCTGTAGTTGTTTGAACAGATTGATTACGTCCAGTCGCATACGATCATTCGGACAAGGACGACAGCGAGCGGCGACCGTGACACGCGTTGACGCGAGGCAGACGAGACACGGCAAGGTAGACGGCCTCTGTGGGACCAACCCTCATCTCCGCGTGTCCCGCGCTAACGCCCCCCACCGTTCGCCCATCGCATCCACCTGCGCAACGCCGCGCTCACCACCGTTTCCCCCCCCCGGTACCTCCCCGCCGCGCCAGCGGGCGAGCGGCGGGAGGCGCAGCAGCATGGAGGGCGGCGCGGGAGGCACCATCAGCGGCCCCCTCGCGGCCTCGGGTGCGTCGCCCATCGCAATGGGGCAGGCAGGGGCGGCGAGGAGGAGGAGAAGGAGCGCGAGGCGTGTGAGGAGAGGGAGATGATGGCATGCCTCGCCACTGCTCAGGTAGCACATCGTTTTCTCTGCTCACCACATCATGCACCGGGGCTGTCTGTCGGTTGGTCTTTCTGTGTTTCATTCAACATCCGTGTGATGGACGCCCTTGCGCCTCCTGTCACCCCGCTTTCTCTCTCGAGTGCCCCATCCCTGCCACCCCCCGCTGCCCCCCGCATGCCCCCAGACGGCCTGTCAGGAGCATGCACAGCAGCAGTGCAGCGCGGCCTTCTCCCAGGCGCTGCTCGCCGCCATGTCGCTGCCGCTGCTCGACCGCCGCGCCCAGCGCGCCCTCCTGCGCTCCGCCCTGCACCGCCGCCACTCCGCTGCCGCCACTGCCGCTGCTGCTGGGGGGCGCAGGGGCAGCGCAGACGCGGGGGGGTTGGGAGGGAGGGCGGGCATGGGGGCGGTGGAGGTGGAGAGGAGCCCGGGGGCGAAGCTGGCGCAGCAGGCCGTGGCTGCCGCGCTGGCAGGGGCGGGCAGGGGGACGAGCGAGGGGGGTGACGGGGAGTGGGCGGAAGGCGAGGCGCTGTCGAACGTGGTGAGCGCCAAGGGGCTGCCCAGGGAGGCGGGAGGTGCTGCTGTGGCGTGGCGCAGTGGTGTTTCGTACTTGGAGTCGCCGAGGGGTGGTGCGGGGGAGGTGGGGGGGATGGGGAGCGGTGGAGAGGGGTGGGAGGGCGGACTGGTGAAGCCGAGGGCTGGGAGGAGAAAGGAGGTGGCGGTTGGGGCGGTGAAAGGGGGAGTGGATGGCAGAGAGGGTGGGGAGAAGAGTGTCGGCAGTGCTGGTGGTGGCAGCGGTAGTAGCATGCAGACAGCAGCTGGTGGGGCAGAGGGTGGTAGCAGCATTGTGGATGGGCTGATCTAGTTGTACTGTATGTAGCATGACTAGTCTAAGATCTTACACTTTTCTAGCAACCAAGCATGAACTTTGAAAATTACCCCCCAGACTGATCTGCTCCAAGGGATAAATTGGGGTGACTTGTGAGTGCTCTGTATAGGTAGCCCATGGATTCCTGAAAACATTTTTGGCATTTATATATCAATTCACTGAAGGAGGATGGCCACTGATCACATGAATGCTCAGATGCTATAGTTCATGGTGCCCTGTATTGACTTGGGCTTGGTTCAAACTTGTCTCGCAGCTCGGGGGGTGGGTCGAAGTGGATGGCGTTGAATGGCTCGTCCATGTCCGCTGCATACGTGAGCACGTATGCACCTGCATACCCCCCATCCCCCTCGCCCTCCTTCTCCCCCTGCTCCTCACCTGCCAGCACGGCCTTCCAGTCTCGGCCCATGAGCTCCTTGAGCATCGCCGTGATCTGCCGCCGCTGCTCGCCCACTGTCTTGCCCATGTGCCGCGCCCCCATGCCCGGCCCGTACATCTTTTGTAGAAACTCCAGCACTCGCTCCCTGCGCGCATCGCCCTTGGCGTCCATCCCCCCGGCCTCTCCCCTCCATCCGGCCCATCCACACCTGCAACCAAACTCGCGCTCCCTCCCTCCCCTCCTCCTGCTCCTTCCTCTCCTGGCCCTGCCCCGCTCCCCTCCTCCCCGCCCCCCTCGCCCGTGCCACTCACGTTCTCCTTCTCCTCCTGCTCCATGTGCTCCTGCACCGCCTTATCCAGCCACTTCTTGCGCTCCTTCCTACTCGCCACGCTCTTCGCCACGTCAGCAGCAGCAGCGTCGGCGCGGGTGACATTCTTGGCCATGTCAGCGCGGTGCCGCTTCTCCGCGATCTGCTTCGGCGTCCACGCGTGCGGAACAATCGGCGGCGCCGCCATCTCCCCGCGCTGCGGGTTCGGCCGGCACTGTTCAGCGCGGTGCAGAGTGGTGCGGAGGAGGTGCGGCTGGTGGGCGGGGTAGAAGGTGTGGGCGACGGCGAGGGCCTGCGAGGGCCAGAAGGCGGCAATGGTGGTGCGCGTGGCAGAAGGGGATGTGGGGAAGCAGGGAGGGGGATGGGAGGGAGCAGAGAAGGGGAGGGGGGGAAGGAGGGAAGGGGACTTGGGGAAGCAGGGCACGGGATGGGGGGACGCAGAGAAGGGGATGTGGGGAAGCAGGGGGGGAGATGGGGGCGAGACGGGAATCTGATGGAGGGAAGCAGGGAAGGGGGTGTGGGGAAGCAGGGAGGGGGATGGGAGGGAGCAGGGAAGGGGAGGGGGGGAAGGAGGGAAGGGGACTTAGGGAAGCAGGGAAGGGACTTGGGGAAGCAGGGAAGGGGAGGGGGGAAGCAGAGAAGGGGACACGGGGAAGGAGGGAAGGGGAGGGGGGAAGCAGAAAAAACCGGATGGGAGGAAGAAGGGCTTGGGATAAGGGGAAAGAATGAAGAGGATGGGGGGCGCAGGGAGGGGGTTGGGGGGAAGCAGGGAAGGGGATGGGAGGGAGCAGGGAAGGGGATGGGGGGAAGCAGGGAAGGGGATGGGGGGATGCAGAGAAGGGGACATGGGGTATGAGGGAAGGGGAGGGGGGAAGCAGAGAACCGGATGGGGGGAAGCAGGGAGGGGGATGGGGGGAAGCAGGGAGGGGGATGGGGGCGAGACGGGAATCTGATGGGGGGAAGCAGGGCAGGGGATGGGGGGAAGCAGGGAAGGGGACATGGGGAAGCAGGGAAGGGGAGGAGGGGAAGCAGGAAACCGGATGGGGGGAAGCAGATGGCAAGGGAGGCGGGAGGGAAGGCGAAGGCGACGAGCGGTGGATGGATGGGCGACGGGGAAAGCGAGGGCGACGGGGAAACTGAGGGCGACGGCGTCCCCGAGGGCGACGGGGAAAGCGAGGGCGACGGGGTAGGCGAGGGCGACGGGGTAGGCGAGGGCGACGGGGTAGGCGAGGGCGACGGGGAAAGCGAGGGCGACGGGGAAAGCGAGGGCGAGGGGGAAAGCGAGGGGGACGGGGAAAGCGCGGGCGACGGGGAAAGCGAGGGCGAGAGGGAGGGCGAGGGCGACGGTGAGAGTATTGACGTTTGGACGAAGGGCTGGCGACGGGCGGCGGTGGGGACAAGGAGTTTGAGCGCGAGGGACAACGGTGATGGCGACAGTGGGGAAGGGGGTGCGGTACCGTGCGGGATGCTGCGCGACGCGACGATTGGCGGATGCGGGTGTGACACGCGACAGTGATTCATCCGCGTTGTTGTACTCACGAGCGGTTTCGTGGGCGCTTCGATCCGAGGCGCCTTCGGAGGTGTCCGCCTTGTGCCCATTTCCCATTTTCACTCCACTTTGCTATTGTGGGCGGGATTTACGTAATGCGTTTGACGACGGGGAGAGCTGTATTCACCGGGTTTTACGTCAGTGCTTCTTGTGGCGGGTGGGCCTGGCTTGTGTGCCAAGTAATGGCGGCTGTAATGGGGAGGTGTGACGGGTGTCGCTCTAGTAATCTCGAGTAGTGAGCGTCGCACTCTGGTGTGGATGACGATGTGTTGGGGGGGTGTGTTTGTCGCTTCGGTTTGTCGCACGTTTGTTTCCCCTGACGAACCTGTTTGTCCTGGTGTGGATGTGTCAACAAGTTCGGGTGGTAGGTTTGGTTTTGTTTGTACAGTGTTTTGGTTTCGCCCAAATGACCCCTAGTCTCGTGCAGAATTTCGCTGCTCGTGGTCCAATCACAGGCCTCCCCTCCCAACCAAGTATAATATGGTAGAAAACGTGAGACGCTGGTTTTAAAAATGCCCATTATGGCCATAATGGCCATAATGCCTGCCAAACTGGGCCTTGATTGCCCGGAATCACTGATACCCCGCATGGTGCGGGCCCTTGAGGCCGCATGGTGCGGGTTGTCCGAAAATGGGCTCTTTGCTAGGGAAAATGGGGTCGTTGAAGAAACGGTGGGTTGGAAATGCCATCAGATAACGGGGTGTTTGGTTGGCATTCCATTATTGTCAGGTTCGGCGTAGTCCGCTTATATCGAACCTTGATAATCTTCCACACGCTTATCAGGGAAGGTTCCAGGGTGGTCGGTTCACTGTAGCCCATCCCCCTCGTCCGGTTTTTTAATGCCTGCCAAACTGGGCCATAGAGCTTGTTGGGAAAAAAAACAAGAGGCGACAAGGTCGTCATAGGGTTGCGAAGCATTTTGCGTAATTAACTTCTATTATACGAATATAACACTCTCCTTTCCCAAGATTCTTCTACTTTTTATGTTGAGTATGAATCTGTGGTTGATGTTGCAAAACTGGCTACGGTGAGAATTGAAATCGTGACTTTTCGAATCGAAGTGCATCTTTAAACGACTACGCTATCGCAATCGTGTTTTTTTTCAGAGCCTAAATTAACTAGTCCAATTACGACGCGACAGAATGCTTCCTACCTTAGGGTTTGTATGTTCTTTTTTTCTCTCGCTGGTCACGCTCACCACCCCACCTGCCAGAGGAAGGTGAGAAGCATGAGTGCCTAAGCTCCTCCCTAACTACTCCTTAATGCTCAACTGCAACTAAGTTGTATGAGCCTTAGACAAGCGTTTAGTAATCTCGTGCCCTAACTGTGTAAAAGAATGATTGTTAGTTGTTTAAGCTTAGGGCCCTTTGTAAAGATTTCGTATCTTGTATTTTTCCGTTTCTTCGTGCATTCTCTACCATCCTTTTCCTTTATCCGTCGTCCTTACTTTTCCTTTTCGTCGGTTGCCTTTTTACCACCTCGGATTTCCATGTTTTCATTCTTTTTTTCCTCACACTCAGTTTAGAGCAGTCCTATCCAGAAATTGATGTGGTCGTTTCACAAGGCCTAATGTTTATGTCGGACCGTTGATCATCTTTAACGACCTTATTGCTTTCTTTCACATATGTGTTTACCACTCTTCCCTCCCTTACCTCTTCTTTTTCTCTCTTTTTTACCGTTATCTCTCGATTCTCCCTCCCTTCTTATCCCTTTTCTTCATCTCCCCCTTTTTATCCTCTCACTACCGTCGTTTTGCTGGTGCAAGTCGCGCTGGTGTGTTTTTGCTGGTGCTAGGAGCGCACCACGTTTGGCGTCATGCGCATAATCCGCGGCGGCGGCAGCCAAGAAGGGCACGAGCATGTCGGCAGAACTTGGTGAGTTTAAATTGTGAAAGAGAGTGAGAGGGTAGTCATGTGCGAAAATTTTATGTGATAAAGAATATCCGAGAGGCACAGCTTGAGAGAGAGTGTATGTGTGTGTGTGTGTGTGCGTGTGGAGAAGAGAGCGTGAGGAGAAGTGAGCATGAGGAGAGTTGAGAAGAATGTGAAGGAGAGTATGAGTGCAAAGTCAGTAGATGAAATCAACATGAGTACAATATTTCTAACCTTCTCTTCTTTCCTTACCGGCTTTGTTTGAATAAAAGAGCAAGGAAGAGTTAGTGATTTTTATTGTTTCATGTTAGATTCTTTCCCACTTTTGCCTTTTGCATGACATACTCCGTTCCTCCGTGTATGTTATTTTGTTATCTTTCTCCTAACATTCTGTTTAGCGTTTTTTCCCATGGAAACCATTTCGAGGTAGCTTGCTAGGCGAATTAGAGTATGATGTCAATTTGTCCTAGTTAGGCCTTGTTTCCGTTCCTTTTGCTTCAATTTCTTGTGCCTATGTTATCCGCTTTTGTCTTCGATTCCCTTTCCAGTTTCTGGTTTGTCATTTTTTAACGACGCACGCCTCTACCTTCTATATAGCTTATCAATTATTTTCGTGTGATGACAAAACATTGCACATTTGCACAAATGAAAGTGACGTTCTCGTGGGTTGTTTAGCATATATTCATGAGTAAGTGGGAGGTATGTGACTGTCAGTTCCTACATTCTTCAAGTTTGCTTGTATTTGTAATTTTATTCTGCATTCACTCGTTCTGCCTTTTATTTGGTTATTTCATGTTTTTTTTTGTATCTTTTTTATTTGTACCATGTCTTCCATTTTCTCTGCTTTTGCCCTTCTTCTGCCCCTTCTGCTCTGTTCTTTTCCTCGTCCTCTCTCCCCTCCTTTCTTTATACCCTATTTTCAGAACCGTTACTCTATCATTTTGAAGCCAAGACCATTGTGGAAAGTAGTGTCAGAATCCCAGCCACTAACCACTGGGATAAAAGGGCTTGTTTGTGTAGCGGATGAGTGCGCCCATAACCCCCCAGGCCAACATGCCTGTAACCCTTCTTTAGGATCAATCGGGGATCTCCAGTGGACCTCTGACACCCCCCCGCACTGGGATGCCCGAGGTGCACACACTGGGATTCGAACCCGAGACCTTCGCTCTGATACCATGTCAGAATCCCAACCACTAACCATTGGGATAAAATGGCTTGTTTGTATAGCGGGTGAGTGCGCCCATAACCCCCCAGGCCGACATGCCTGTAACCCTTCCCTAGGATCATCGGGGATCCCCAGTGGACCTCTGACACCCCCCCCGCACTGGGATGCCCGAGGTGCACACACCGGGAATCGAACCCGAGACCTTCGCTCTGATACCATGTCAGAATCCCAGCCACTAACCACTGGGATAAAAGGGCTTGTTTGTGTAGCGGGTGAGTGCGCCCATAACCCCCCAGGCCAACATGCCTGTAACCCTTCTTTAGGATCATCAGGGATCTCCAGTGGACCTCTGACAAGTAGAACCAGTGTGGTGACTTGTATGATTGATGGTGGTACTGTATTGTTTCGGTAGATTTCTTATGCACCTTTTTTTTTGTTTTTAACTTTGTGTCCGAGTTTTTGTGTGTCCATATACGGTACGTGCGACTGTGCGTATGTGTCTGTGCGTGTGTACATTCATTCATATGCATTGCATTAACAATGCATAGCTATGAGTTTTAAAAAAATGATCGACCTATCATTTCCGAGAAGGCTCTTTGCGCACTCAGTGAGTGTGTCCACTCGAGCTGGATTTGATAGAATTGATCATTTTTTTAGGATTCACAGATTGTGTTGTTTCATGTGACGGTTGGATGGTTCATATATTAGGCTATTGACTTCCCCCCCATGCTAGGCAGGGGATGCGGTAGCCTAATGTATGGGTCAATCAACATCACGCATTTCCATCATGTATCGTGTGCGTTCATTTCATTATACAAGGGACTGGTATACAGAAGTAAATATGGGCATACCAATGCAGTATACCGCACTATACGGTATTTATGCATTACGCATTATATTATGTTATCAATTATTATATTGTATCAAAATGAAGAATGGATGATGCATTGATGTTGGTTGGGGTACATATAGCTAACCCTAAGTTTTGTACCCCCTAAGACAAACCTCACTATAGGCTACAACATTTGACACACCCCCATAGCCTAAGTGAGGGGTGTCTAGCAGAACCACACGAGTACGGTCACAAGACCAGTCCAAGAAACGAAGCTCAGGGTGGATCACAACGTCACCACACAGTCTGAGCACAAACAACAGTGGCCACAAGGCCAGTCCAAGAAGTAACAGAGGTATATAGAAAGCAAAGTAAACAGTACACTCAAGTCTAAGCAACACGAGAACCAGTGTCAACAAGGCCTAACTGCACACAGCACCTCTGGTGGTCACAAGGCGGAAGCGCCTTGGTGAAGATGTCTGCAGTGTTGGCCTCGGACTCCACAAACTCAAAGCGAGCCTGTCCACGCCTCTGCAACTCTCGCAGAAGAAAGTACCTGACGTGAATGTGCTTCACTCTGCTCTCCAGTCGTGGCTCTCGACAAAGGAGAATAGACGCCTTGTTGTCAGTGAACAAGGTCGGTGCAGAGCTCGGCCGCTCACCAAGGTCGGTGAGCAAGAAGGTCAACCAACGCAGCTCCTGTGCCGCCATGGCACCAGCGTAGATCTCAGCCTCAGCTGTAGAGGTCGAGACCGAAGAGGAGCGCGTGGACCGCCAGGAAACAGCTCCAGAACCCAGGCTGAAACAGTACCCCTGAGTAGACCTGTGAGTCTCAGCGTCGTCAGCGTAAGAGGAGTCACAGTGACCAGTAAGTACGACAGACTGCTGCCCTCCAAGAACTAGCCCCACGCCTGACGTCGTCGCTAGGTACTTCGCCACCCTCACAGCTGCTGTCCAGTGAGCAGGACGGTGTCTCCCTGGCGCAACAAAGCGCGCAAGAACGCTGAGAGGGAAGGCGAGGTCCGGGCGAGTACAAGTCATCAGGTACATGAGGCAACCCACAAGCTCTGCGTAGGGACCACTAGGCTCGAACGGCTCGTCAGG